GCAAGGTGAGAGCGGGCGGCCACGCCGCCCTAGGCCGCGCGGCGGCCCGGGCGGGAGGGCGGCAGGGCGCGGGTCCCCTCCCTTCTCCTGCCCTCCTCTCCCCTCCCGACCATGTGTCCGGGCCCGGGAGAGGCCTCCCCTCGGCCGCCACCGCGGCGTGGGCCACCAGGCGTCCATGTGACGCGCGTGTCCGCAGGCCTCGTGGGCCCGCCGGGCTTCCTGCCCGGGCCCCCTTCCCGGCCCAGGAAACCGCCTCCGCCCCGCCTTTACTCCTTCCTCCCGCGTTCGGAAGCCGGGTGGATTGCTGCCCGCGAGGGTGGCTCTGAACACGCCGGAGTCTGTGACCCTGGAGAGGGAGGCCGCTCGGGCCTCCATCGGAGCCCCCAGTCTCCGGAATGTGGCGACTTAAGCGATGCCTTCCAATTGACCACCTCCGGACTCCGGCCTCCCCTTTTCGTCGTTAGAGGCTTTTCCTGGGTATTCGTAGCGTGGCATAAATTTAGTCACAAAATCACCGGCCGCTTCTGTTCTTGCTCAGGGACTTGGAGAGCAGACCAACGGAAAAAAAAAAATCCAGTTTCACTTAGATGTAACAATGTTTGCTAGACATATTTGTCCTAAAAGCAACAAGCAAGGTCGGTGTCCCATTAGTACTTTATCTTTTAAGGAACGTTATATTTGAGATACCCTCCCCGGGCTTGGTATTTGCAGCAGTTAAAGTGTTCACAAAGTTGGTGGTTAGGCCTGGGAGGGAGGAAGCCTTGGAATCTAGTTAAGTGTCTGTGACCCACCTTCTCTGAACCTCAGTTTTAAGGCTAGATGATCTCAAACTCTTAATGGTTCTACTATTACTTTAATTAGCAGTATTTGTTTTTCAGGATGAAGATGAATGGAAAGAATTCGAGCAAAAAGAAATTGATTACAGTGGACTCAGAGTTCAAGCAATGCAGATAAGGTACAGTTTATATTTTAGGTGTTTATTTTAGGGATGTGTTGCAGTTTTCATTTTTTTAGAGAAATTCCAAAGCAGTCTTATGATGAAACTGATTTAGAAACCAACATTAAAGCAATAATGGATATAGTGTGTATCTGAAAGTTATCTCTTCATTGCCACTATAAGAAAGGCGCTAAATTCTCATTATGACACTGATTTAGAAACAGACATGGAGGCATTAATGGATTGTGTGTATCAAAGTTAAATCTTTCCTGTTTCCTCAGTGTTCCATTGCTGCTGTAGGAAAAAGCCACCAAATTCTGAAGTTCTTTGGAAAGTTAACTTAATTTAGACCCTCATTATCAGTATTGGAAATTCTAGGAAATAAGTTGATTTTTTGTTAGGCCTTCACTATTTGTGATATCTAAAGTAGTTTGTTGCTGCCCTTTTTCCTGAATAAACTTGATCAACTTGGACATTAAATCTGAGTTAGTCTACTTAATGTAAGTTCTGGGCACAGGCCCTGGAGTCCTGGAAGACTCCTTTTTTCAGAGTTCAAATCTGGCCTCAGACTGACTGGCTGTGTGACCCCGAGCAAGTCACTTAACCTTGTTTGCCACAGTTTCCTCACCTATAAAATGAGCTGGAGAAGGAAATGGCAAACCACTCCCAATACTTTGCCAAGAAAAAAACCTCCATGGGGTCCCTGAGAGTCAACATGGCTAAAACCTGTATGTTCTAGTAACTTAAATAAGTAGTCATAGATTTTAGACATATCCTTGATGAGTTACTAAGTTAAAGAAAACTACAATATTCTCTTTCTCTAGGTAGAAACAAGACATTTCATTTGGGGAAATTTCCGTCAGTGTGACTGTGTAAAAGATTCATAATATTGTTCACTGGTCTTCCTTTTGAAGTCTACACGCTAAGAATACTTGTGGCCCCCTCACTGAAAATGTAAATGTTAGCTTCCTTAACTATAAACCCAGTTTTTAATCTTAGAGGTCGTAGTTTATTGATCTTAAACTTGTTTTTCAATAAAACTTTTGGGAGTAAAAAGCTCTTGTCACAGATTTGCCCCTTTTACCAAAGTAAAGCATCAGCCTTCATCTAATTATATAGGAAATGCCATTTGTTTTAAAATGCCCTTACAAACTATAAAGTTATTCATTAGAAGGTTAAAACACTTAACTAAAGTTGAATCTTAACAGTTTTACTTTCAGCTCTTTCTGATTTGTTGGGTGTTTTGAGTATTTAAGTGGATAGAGTCCTGGGATTGGGAAAGTATTCTGGCTATGCTTCTGTGTTTGTGCTTAACCACTCACCACCTTTTTCTTTATCTGTAAAGTGGGAACAGTTTATATCTGCTGTATAGGTCAAATGAGCTATGATGCATGTAAAATAATTTGCAAGCCTTAAATGTCAGCTGTTGGAAACTAACCTTGTTCTTGAGCCTTTGCTATAAGACTCAGCTCCAAATTGGTTTGCCTGTTTCCTTCAGAACAGTGCATGCCTTTGAGGGGTGCTGATTGACTCTTGACGGGATAAACTAATTCGAGGCCATCTTGTGTGGACTTTGCTGACGTGTAAGATTCTGGGGAAAGACCTGAGTGGTGCTATAATTGTAATCATCCATTTCTTGTTTCAATCAGTTGAGAGTATGATTATTGCTAAGCCACTTATTTGCAGAGAAGATAGAGCTCTAAATTAAGGGGGAAAAAATTTCATTAGCATGACACTGAATCTTTAAAGCCTGAAGATCGCTTATTATTCTGGTTATTGAATCTGAATTCCAGATTCAGTATCAGAGCAGATTCTTATCCTTTACCAGGAACTACAACTTTTGCTATTATCAGTCTTTCCATAGCAGGTTATAGCTTTAAGCTGTGCTAGAGTAGAAATTTCAGGTTCGGCATTTTACCATTTTACTCCTAGCCAACACTATAGGCAAGGAACCCTTATCTTTTATAAAACCTTTAAGCCTATGAGGACTTATCTTCCATTTAGTCATAAGGGTCCTCAAGTAAAATTTGACAGTTACCCATCTAACCTGCTTTCCTAAGGAAAGGGCTTAATATAAACCAGGGCAAACACTATTTGGGGGGAAGGGTTTCTGTTTTGGATGGGAGGTGCACAGGTTAACTCAATTACACATTGTTAGTCCAGGGACACTGTTGGATGGAATGTGTTGGGAATCTAATGCTTCTTCCAACTTGGGAGCAAAAAGTGGGAGAAAAGAACATTGGGTGGGGAAAAGGGGGGCAGGTGAAGAGTTTTGGGACAAATTTTTGCTGCTTTTTTTTTAAGCAGCATCATAGGCTCAAAGGCCCTCTTGATTTGGTTAGTATGTTGTTAGGGAAGAGAGAGTATAGTTCTAAGTTCCTAACTCTTAATAGTTAAGTTTCGTATGCTGGTTTGTGCCTTTGCTACATTGTTCCACTCTTAAAAGTTTGGCATATTATAGATGAAGGAATGTTGCAAAAGATAAATGTTGGTAAAAACAGCAAAACAGGTTAATAATTGCCTGGCTCACACTTAGCTCCCAGTTCTGTTATTTTTGTACTATGAGTATAGGGATATCTATTTAGTTGGATGAACTACATCAGTGGCTTTGAGTACTGCATCTTGAATAGCCCTCACTAAAAGGTAATGTATGGACAAGCCTGACAATTTATCCAGACAAATAGGGATTTGATGATGATAATTAAACATTTAAAAATAACACCCCCCAACTCTGATAGGTTTGTGATTGAGACTTTGGTCAGCCTTAACTAGTAGGGAGTTGGTATTGTCCTAACCCTCCTAGTGACTTGTAATGTTAAGTTACTGAAGGGACAGGGGTAGTATAGCGTGATTGTTGTCATTAAATTATTGCAAATTACGGTGCCTTATGATATGAATGTCAGCCTCATTTTCATCTATGAAGTGGGGTTAACAACCTGCTCTTCCTGCCTCAAAAGGGTTTTAAAGAATAAGTGAAATAATGTGTATAAACTTTTGGAAAATATAAAGGCATCTTCACAAGTGTAAGGTAGGGGTATGTTTCCAGTGATAACCATAAGTATACCCAAATACTTATATATCATGTGACAAGTTACAATGAGGAAAATTATTCTGTACAATATCACTAGGGTAGATACAGTGTTGGCATAAAAGCTTGGGATAAAGAATCCTTTCTATAGCTCACTTAGGTCCTTTTAGCCATTATTTGACTATTTTATTGCAGTGTATTCAGGCTTTGGCTAGTTTGTATTTTTTTGGTCATCATGTGAATTTTGGAGGTGGGGCTTATAACATGGAAGGATGAATGGCATCATACCTGGTTCTAGGGCTGGTGTTGGAACCCCTTCAGAGTCTGCCTCTGACCCGTCACTTGTGTGACTATGGGAATGTCATTTCATCTTGGGCCTCTTCTCTTAGAAGACTAGTTAGAGCTGGATTGCTGGTAGGGGAGTTAGTTGACTGGTTAGTTTTGATTGCCAGGTTTGCTGGTTACTTACTGCTCCTGTGACCTTAGTAAAGCAGGGCATCGAATTAAGATGACTGCTTGGGGGGGGTGCTTTATCATCTTGGATAGGTAGAGGGATCTTCACATCTGAAATACCCTGCCTGGATGAATGCCTGTCCCTCCCCATGTTAAGTAAATATGAGCACATTAGGATATATTAAATTGAGTCTGCCACTATCTAGCTATGTGACTGGGTGGGCCACACTTTAAATGACATTGGATGAATTTATTTTAGTCTTAAGGTCCCTTTAAGCTCCAATTCCTTGATCTAAGTATTAAATATTGTGCATTGTAATGGGTCTGAATGTAAAGGGTTGAAGCTGAAGCTTAAGTACTTTGGCCACATGAGAAGACAGGACTCATTGGAAAAGACCCTGATGTTGGGAAAGATTTGAAGGCAAAAGGAAGAGGATGAGAGGGATAGTGTCATGGAAGCAATGGATGTGCTGTGTAGAGTTTTTTTGAGGGATGGTGGAGGTGAGTAGGGCTGTGATCCATGGGGTCATGACTAAAGGACAAATAAATTGTAAGGGGTGTTAATTAAGCAGACCTTTCCTTTGGTCGTTTGGAGTCATGTATTTGTCATGTGTGAGATTTTGGTTTATGAGCATCTTGGGAAAGAGGATGATGGGAGAGACCTGTTTATCACAGGCCCTAAAGAACTTTTCACTAAAAGTCTGTGTCACAGCTCTGGCTCTTTACTCTTTGACCAGCTCTACACTCCATTTCTCTAACTCTATACTCCATTTCCTTCTTCTGCCTTAGAACTTTCAGTAAACATTTATCAAGCCTCTGCCATGTGTCAGGCACTTTAGTGCTGGGGATACAAAAGGAGGCAAGAGTCTTCTGTCCTCAGGAAGCATAGTCTAACTTGATGGGAATTTTAGAAGTCATATTTTTAAGCTAAACCAGATTTAATGGAATAGCTATCATTATATAGCTATAAATAAGATGCCCATAGCATAAGGCATGCTTGCACAGAATTACTCTTAAAGGTCCAGCTCTGACAAACATCTCTCTGGTTTTCTAGATGAGTCAATCAGAAGGCAGTGAGTGTAGCTAGAGGCCAGGCAAGCTGATAGTAGGAGAAAGCAGATTATCCAAATCAAAACTAGGAACTCAAGAGTCTGGGGCTTTGGGATGGAAGTTGTGACTTGAGTAGCCACAACCAGCCTGTTACATTGCAATACAGGAATTGATGTTTGTGATGACTATCATGAGTCATCAAGAGAAGATTAAAATATATTTTACTCTAAAAATGTAGAAAAATAATAAGATAGTAGTACTTAGGTCTGTCAAGAAACAACAGGATGATGTGTATAAAGCCTTCAATTGGTACCTCCTAATGTGGAGGTGACCCCACAGATCTCAGACTTTGATCCCACACTGCGTAGAGTGTTTGTCATTTCAAGAATCAGCTGAGCTCAATTCAGAAAGGCTTGTCACCCTAAGATTGGAGGCTTGGTTTCGGCCATAGCCATTAGTGCTTGAAGACAGTTGACTTAATGTGTCCTGGTTATAGCATCAGTGGACATAGTTGGCTTACTCTAACAGAATGTTGGAATTATAATTCCTAACTTCCTGAGAAATAATATTACTGTAAACACGGTTTCATTTGCTACAAACATGTAACTACAATATAAAACTTGATAAAGTGGGTTTGAATTGATACTGCTGTTTTGCCTTTCTTAATCATACTCAGGTAATGAGACACTGTGCTATATATACTGTTTAAATTTCTTGTCCCTATAGCACTTGCTATATTGTAACAAATTAAGAGTGAAGATCCACTTTCATTTGAGCAATTGATTGCTTTCAAGGGAATATTTTGGTGGAGATGAGATAGTAGGGCTACTTTGATCCACAAAGTTTTTTCTTTTTTAAGTGTGTGTGTGTATGTGTGTTTAGAACCAACTTGGTGTTATTAGGGATCCACTTGGTCTCTTTTATATTAACCTTCTCAGATAGGGCTTTTGAGCTAGAAAAGCTCAAGAAAGCCCCACAATCTCATCTTGTTACCAAAATATTTTTTAAAAATATTTTTATTGGGGCAGCTAGGTGACTCAGTGGATAGAACACCTGGCCTAGAGTCAGGAGGACCTGAATTCAAATCCCACCTCAGACCAGACACTGGACACGAGCTGTGTGACCCTGGGCAAGTCATTAACCCAATTGCCTCACTTCCCCAAAAAAGGAAAAGAAAAATATTTTTATTGATGGCTTTTATTTTCCCCCTATATAACCTCTGCCTTCCAGAAAGCCACTTCATGTAATTTTTAGAGAAGAAAAAAATAAATCTGATTAATACAATGAAGAAATCTGATGTGCAGTGATCTACACCTGTTAGCTCTCTTCCACCCAACCCCCACGGAAGTGAGGCAAGTTTCTTATGTCTTCTTGGGGCCAAGCTATATAATTTCACAACATCTTTCACTTGTGGTGGTTCTTTTCATTTACATTTATGTAATCACTATGTATTTTCCTTGCTCTGCTTTCTTTGCTTAGCATCAGTTCATCTAAGTCCATCTTATGCTTTTCATTTGTTATTGATTAATTTCAGCACAGTAATGTAGTCACTTGTCACAATCGGCACTTGTTGAGCCATTTCTCAGTCATGGCACCCCAGTGTTTTAAGGCAGGGTTAAGAATGCCCTTATTTGCTCTTAATTTTTCTTCCCTTTGATCATTCACATTGTTTCACAGTGTTCTTCAATCTCAAAGAGTTGGTTTAATAGTAGCCACAGGAACACACTGCTGAGTAATAACAATCCAGGAAATAAAGATTTTCCATCTGCCTGACAGGTCTTGTAGTTTGCTCCATAATAGCTTGAAAAACACTCTTGTTGTTTTCCATTATTTTAGGGACAAAGTACGATTACATAAAGTTGTGAGACTAACTTAAAAAAAAATTTAACAGACTCATTTAAAACTTTGTCCAAATTAGTGTTTTCCTTGAAAATCCCCTTGAGACCATATACTGTTCAAGTGAGGGTGCCATTGCTTGGAACTGTTTGGGAAATTTGTCTTTTGTAAAATTGTCGGTCTCTTTGCTATAGTCCTCAGAGATTCCCCTTAGGTTCTCATCCCTTTTTCTCTTTCTTACTTTCTTCCATTCTTTTCCCTCTGTCCTCAGCTTAACCTTTCCCTCTCCATCATTCCTGCTTCCTGAGCCAACAACCCTGTTTACTGGCTGTAGCCAAGAGAAAAGAGGGACTATGGGCCAGATTCAAGCTGGGAGCCAAGGAAAACCTTGTCTACTGCCTGTCTTCTCTAAGTGCTGCCAATTGATAACATGGGTATAATTGGCTGAGTGCCCTCAATTCAACTTTGAGAAAAATTTGTGTAAAAATACAAGTTAGTGACTTGATAGGGAAGTACTGAAGTATTTAAAGAGGTTTGTTTTCTGTTTTATAATCCTTAATTTATTCATAGAACATTAGTGCTACAAAGGGACCTTAAGAGGGTCAGTTGCTTCATTTTCTAGGAAAGGCACAGACATATTAAAGATTCTCTTTTTGTCCCCGGAAAAGATCTGAAACTAGAACTAGAAACTGACTTAAGTCCTGTGTTTTTGCCGGTGTGCATATTTTACAAGAGGAGGGGAGATGGCTATGATTATGAGGTCTTTTTTAAAGCTTTAGATTTGTTGCCAAAATGAGGGCTTTTTCTTATGTTTTAGGAGAGTGGTAACCTGTGGGCCTCAGTTTCTTCATCTTTAATGTTGTATAAATGTTTTTGTATTTTTTTAATGGTTAGGTGTTTTAGATTAGTTTTTCCTATTTGCATAAAGTACCCCACTTATTAAAACTGTATTTAAAAATTGCTCATAAGGTTGACAGAGGGATCGGAGATCTGTTGATTTTAAAGGTAAAAGCATAATTTTAGGCATTTCTAAAATTCTTACTGGAAACCTAGAATTACATACGTTATAGTGTGGCACTTGAAAGTCTGTAGCACATTACATATGCAGGATATGTGTGTAATGTGCTTGAGTTGGTTAAAACTGCACTGAGACTTTGGGGAGATGCCTGTATGTAATTGTAATCTTGTGTGGTAGGGTATCATAGGCATTATCCTCATTGTAGAAATGAGGAAGTTGAGGCTCAGGTGAAATGATGACTTTAGAGGAGGATTTAGATTCAGAGGTTCCATCTGAGAGTGTTTTAGGGAGATTTGTCAGTCACAGCTAGAGCTGATGGGAGGGCTGGACCCCAGACCCAGGGTTCTCAAAGTTCAGTGTTCAGTGTTGCCTCGGGAGTATTGTCCTTGAGAAGAACTCCAGGTTTTCATTGGAAAAGGCTAACAATAGTACTTTCCTAGGGGACGTTTTAGGGATTACCTGACAAATGAAGCAGAATTAAATTTGTTTCTATCCAGTTTTCCATCCTGCTTTCCCTTTTCCCTGCTTGCCCTTTACTTTCCTCCATCATTCCCCCAACCTACCCCCCTTTCTCTGTTATCTTAGGTAAATACCATTCGGAAGTCCTTGCTGTTCAAAAACACAGGCACAGCCCCTCTGCCTAACCCATCTACTGTTCACTAGCTCATCATAGGTTGCTCTTTCCCCAAAAAAAGATGACTAGATGGTTTTGTAGTGTATCTGTTGATTAGAAGCTTACATCAGGTTTTTTCCCCAAAGCCTGAAGAAATTAAATTGTATTTAATTTACTACTGTATTAATTAAAAATTAATTACCCTTACCAGCAACTAAACTTTTTAACTTGTCTAAATTATTCCTGATGATTCTTTTTGGTCTTAGATTATATATACCTTTATTTTCTAATAGTGAAAAGGAAGAAGATGATAATGAGAAGAGAGAAGATCCAGGGGATAACTGGGAAGAAGCTGGTGGTGGTGGCATAGAAAAATCATCTGGTCCTTGGAATAAAACAGCTCCTGTTCAAGCACCTGCTCCAAGTATTGGTAATAGATTTTTTTCTCAAGTTAAAGCATGATTAAATAAGTTAAGCCTCAGTTATCTAAGTGGGTTTTTCTTTAGCTCTTGAATTTCGTTTGTTTGTGTCACTTTGCAGAAGACCTAATATAAAAGTCCTACATATAGTTTGGGAATTCTGTGCCTTTTACTATATTTGGGTATATTGGTATAGTCAATCCTTAGAAAAATGCTTTTCTGTTATTTCTGTAAGATGTTTTTAATTCTATAAGTGAACTAGCTACTGAACTGTTTTAATCAGAAATCCACTTAAAAATTCAGTTCTGCTGCTAATTCAGCAGAAGCCGGTAGGATAGTATGTTTATTTTGGTAATGAAAATAAGCCTTAATAATAAGTAAGCTTTATTTATCTGTAATTATTAAAGTATACATGTTAACAGTGGCTCCTAAGGGAGGGTTTACTGTTGATCAAAATTCATTGTGACTAAAGTATATTCATTTTTACCATCATAGAAAGTCACAAAGGTTATTTTTTTTCCTCATCCCTCTTAATTTCTGTTTGAGTCTATTGTGAGCAAAAGATTTTTACTCATTTTACTTCTGTAAATCATAATGCATTTATTGTAATAGTTGCTCTCTATTTAACATACAAGTTAGGTAATTTTGCTTTCATTGTTTAAGAATGAATTGAGCAGAAGTCTAGACAGGTAAATGACCTACAGTACTTTGTGTAGTATTTCAATTTGCTCAGAGTAGTGGGGACCCTAGCTAGTCCTTGTCTTGTATATGTTTAGTATTCTTTCTCTTAGAGTTGGCAGGTTAGCTTATGCCTGTTTTAAACAATGCACATAGTCCAAAATGGAATTAATTCTTATTAGATGATTCCTATTTAGAGCTTACCTAGATATGTTAGGCATTTCTTGTTTCATGTAGTTGATAGGGAGATAGGACTCAAGTATTTTGCTGTGCTGTAAGTTTGTTTTTTCACCAAATCATTTTGTGTTGTTAGTTACAGAAACCCCAGAACCAGTTATGACTGGTGGTGTATACAGGCCTCCTGGTGCCAGGGTGACTTCAACGAGGAAAACACCACAAGGACCACCAGAAATATACAGCGATACACAGTTCCCATCATTGCAGTCCACTGCCAAGCATGTAGAAAGTCGGAAGTAAGTGTAGCTACTTAAATAATCTTGGAAAGTTTGAGATATGTTTGATATTTCCAAGTTTTTAATTTATTCATGCCTCTTCCTCCAAGGAAGAGAGATAAAAATGGCTTATTACTATTATTTTAGTTAATTAATGGGTTAGTTGATCACTAAGAAAGAATTGGGCATAAGATACATCCAGGAGAAAGGAAATGGGCCCTGGTAAGGAAAGGGTGGGAGAAAGCTAAAGGAAAACTCACTTCATTTTAGCAAGGGTAATTTAAAGGATGTAGAAAAGGTCTCATGTTCTTGAAATAGCACTTCATTTCTTCCACCTGGCCCACATATACTATATAGCAAGTTAAAATGTCATTAGATGGATTAGGTGTGTTCAGTGAACATAAATGAGCAGTGTCTTGTTATAAGCATGATAAACTTGTATTTCAGCAGTTAACTTAAAAATGTCTTGTGGATTTGTATTACTCAAGAAACAGTTAAAATCTTGTTTAGGAACTGTGTACTTGCTCCACCAACAAAAAAAAAGTGGTGAAATGTGTTCAGTTTACATCAAGTGTTAGTGCTGCTTCTGAATGGTAGCGGGTGGCTTTGAAAGCAGGTCCAGGCTGTTGTCTTGCCTTATTCTCTTTAAGAACACAGCAGTTTTGGGAGTGATCTTTCACTTAGCCTGGTTCTTTCAGCATTATCCTCTTAAAAAAAACCATTTCCTTATATTTGAATATGCCATTCCCCACACCTCCCACAACCACCCCTTTTTTTCCCCCCTTTATCCTACCCATTTCTGTGAGATGGAACTTCTGGAAGTTTAGTCAAGTTTTTAGTTTGACTTTCATGACTTTGATGAAAGGGTAGTATACATTTATAGTTCAAAGGGATAACATGTCAAATAGCAAATTTTAGATTGTTTTTAAACTAGCCCTGAATTATCTGTAGTTAACTACTGCAGGAGAGATCACTATGTTAAAAGATAGGGCCACATTACAAAACAATTCTGTGATTTGCTTAGTTGAAACCTTTTATTTTTATATCAAGAGGTTACTCCAATTCTAAAAATGACTGCAAAGCCTTTTTAAAGGAGCTATATTAACTTCATGGCATCCATCTTCCCCCCCTAGATTCTTCTTGGGGTGGGTTTTTTCAAGGAAGATTATTTTCAAAACTATCTTAGTGGAGATATTTACTGATTCCATTTCTTTTCCCTTAGGGATAAAGAAATGGAGAAGAGCTTTGAAGTAGTAAGACACAGAAATAGAGGTAGGGATGAGGTTTCCAAAAACCAGGCACTTAAACTGCATCTAGACAACCAGTATGCTGTGCTGGGGGATCAGTAAAGCTGCCCACATATTACAATTAAGGAATGGTTTTTTGATAACCCTCCTACTAAGGTAACTAAACTCCAGCTAACGGCCATGAACAACCACCCGCCTTGTGATGTCTGCCGGATCTCCTGTAGCACACGCAGACTGTTTGACATCAGCAATCGGCTGAACTGCTGCCCTGTGGAAGCTTAAAGTGTTGTACACCTTTGGATGTGAGGGGATTCTCAATGTTATAAATTGCTTGAACTAGATTCACCAGTGTTCTTTGATAATTACTCTGCCAAAAAAAAAACCAAACAAACAAAACAAAAAAAACAAAAACCTGCAGCCAGTGGTCATTTCGAAATCTTTTTATGTTCAGATACTGAGCCTTCGTAAGGGTTGACTACCTCAGATTTGCTGCACTCATTGTGGACACCATGTGGATCACAACTTCTGGATAAGAAGGTTACAGCTATTAAGTGGTGATGTGAAACTTGAAACCAGCTCTACTGGATTCCTATCAGAAATCCTGCAAAAGTCAGCGATTTGGGTTCTGATCTGCTATAAATGACAAAGATTTAAGTGACCTTAATTAACCTGTCCTGGGCCCCATCCTTAGGGAATACTTTCTCTAGTAGCTGTGGCTATACACAATTTTTCCTGAGACATACCAGTACCACTCTCAAAGAACTGTTCAAATAAACCCATGCAGAGCTGTGTGGTTTTTTTTTTTAACCCTTTAGCTGTAGCCATATTCTGAGGTTACGAGAAACTTCAATTTAACCACACTTTGATGTACAAAGTGGGATTGGGGGGGTGGGGTAGGGGTTGAATGGTCCAATTTCTTTTTAGCCATTTTTATTTGGATAGCACATGTGTTGTATTTTCCGCCAACAAGGCCTTCCTTGCTTTGACTTAGAATCTAAGTTCTTTGAACAGAGCATAATGTTTGGTTGAGTAACTTGAAACATCTGTTAAGAGGGATTGTGAAATAAGTTTCATAACCTGATTTCCACCCCCAAGGGGCTGGAACTCCATAGCCTTTAAAGAGCAGTGGATGCCAAGGCTTGACTTCAGGTGCTGCTAAAGCCTCTAATCACCAGGTCTTTAACTTGTACAGTATGTATTTGACAAGAGTACTGGTATCTAGCAGGTGGGATTGAAACCTTTTTTTACTACTAGAGTAGAGGTATTCAATCACCTGTGAGTTTATTTTTTTCAACTCAAAACAACATGAGTAAATCTTAATCAGAAGCTTGGTGGGTGTGCAAAAGCTTTCCTGATGTTTCACATGTACTGACCAATTGTGTGGTGTTTGACGAGACTCTCAGATGCCACACTTATCCCCAACCTTTTCAAGGTCAGGATGCTTACTGCTGCAGTGATTATACTGACTAGCTCTGTTGGATTGTCTCTGGCTGTTCAGTGGTTTGGGGGTGGGGTAGGGGTGGGGGGAAAGAATGGGGCAAAAGACAGGTGACATAGCACTTCAGTTTTCAGTAACTCCAGGTTAAACAGTCCAGTAACTTAGTCCTTAAGTGGGACCTGACAACCACCCACAGTTATTGCCTATGGTGTGAAAGTTTCATTCCATCTAATCAGATTCTGTTTCATCTTTGTTAGTTTTGTCATTTTGATTCAGTACAAATATTGCAAAGTGGTATGTGACCACTTGATGCACAGAGTCTGGGTTTCTCTATATTACATTTCAATGCCAAATTCAGGAGTTGCAGACTTGCCATTGACAAGAGTGGAGCAAGTAGGTGAGTAAAACAGTCTCCTTGATGTGAAAGAAAGCAGCAGGTTCCCTCGTAGGGGTTCAGATGCCGAAATCCCCTTCTGACTCCTAGAAGGGCTCCTGACAGTGTTTCTTGGCAGCCCCTGCCAGCTCCCTGGCCTCTTAGAGAGGTGTGCCTGGACAAGTTGCTGAGCCCAGAAGGAGCTGGGTGTTCAAAAGAGGAACTGAAGACTTCATTTGGGAACCAAAAACCTTAGTAAAAGAATTAAATAGAATTCTTGGACTTCGAGCCATCTATTTTCCCTGAAAAGTATGCATCTTTGCCAGCAGTGTCTTGTTGGATTATATTACTGAGGAATGAACTGAGATGATTATTTGGAAGTGTTATTTAATGGCATATCGTACTAGAAATTTGAAGACCTGCAGTAGATTTTAATCCCAACTCTTGTTATAACATTTTTAAGAGATTGTGAAATTGTCAAAATGCACATTAATCAAGTTTTAGTATACTGTATGATGGGTAGATGAGACTGTCCATTGTACCTTATTTCGTTATTTCAATTCTCAGGCATGGTTTTGGCAGTGCAAGAACCCTGTAACGTTAACAAATTCAATAAAATGGAAATGTATATGGATCTTTGAGCCTGATTTTTCTTTTTCTTAATCCTTGTTAATGGTACAGTTTGGTTAAAAGCAATAAATGTTTGAACTCTAATGGTGGGGGAGGGGTTGGAATGGAGGAGTGATCCTTGAAAAAGGGATTGATTACATTTGGTTCCATAAGTTTTAAACACTCTTTCTCCCTGTGAAGACTTTTTATGCTTGGAGGTTGAGGTAGGGAAACTTTTGATAGTGATCTCTATAAAAGCTGGGCCTATTTTAGTTTGCTTTAGTTTTTCTGAATTTCATAATATAATTGGGAGTTAGTGTAGCCACCATGTTATAATGAATGTCATGAATATTGAGGTTTTTTTTAGAATGAGAGACCTCCAAAATACAGTTTGGTCTTAAGGAAAAGCATTAACCATAACTACTGAGTGAGTGCATTTTTTTTCCCCTTCCAATTCATGTTATTAGAAATTTTTTTTTCTTGTTGTATCTTAGCAGGGAATAAAAACATCCTGTTAAATATGTTTGAGACTGAAGATTTGAGATTTTGACATTTCAAAGATACAGAAAATAAATACCATACTTAAACATTGAAATAAAAGCAGCAGGTGCTTTTGCCACTTAATGGATAGAAGTTCAGTTGTAATTCATTTAATCTTGAGCATTAGAAGTCTTAACTGTTCATCCTACCTTTATCACTAGTGGTACATAGTGGCCTTGTGTAGAATGAACTGTAACAGATTGAATTCAGAAAAAACTCAGTATACAAATTCCCTTGCTAATTTCCACACTTGTAGAGATGGTTAATGTATAATAAACCATAGCTGTTCTTACGTATTTTATATGTAGCCATTACACATGTTCTGCTGAAACAGGGTACTGAAGGCAACTGGCTCTTGGTGTCTGAGTTTTAATAAATCACTTAATATACCATATTATAGACAGTATATGATGGGCTCAAGACCTGTTGAAGTATTTAGAACCATTTGCAATAATTTTTCATGCAGGAAGGACTCTTGTTTACTCATCTTATTCAGCCTGAGTTCTTGAATTGGGGCTTTGTGTTCAGGCCAGGTTCTGCCCCTTATTGCACTTTTGGGTGGGGACTGCTTGGTCTGGTCCTGGGTCCCCTCTGGGTTCTTGATCTGATCTCTCCCCAGAGTTAGACCTCTTGGATTTTTTTAAGTCTCTCATTTCTCAGGACACTGTGAGGGACCTTAAGAGCCCTTGGGCTGAGGGGCCCCCCTTTCCTGTTACCCAGGGCTTCAGTTCTGGGATGGAAAGTTTCTCATTAGATTTCTTGATCTTTGCCCTGCTAAGAACTAAAGGGTTTTACTAAGAGTAGATGTGGGGGGTGTTGGGCAGCCTTCTTCCCCTTCAGCCAACCATCCTGGCAGGAGCCACTTACTATCAAGATTGCATCATTTAAACCACCTCATTTCGGCGTGCTCAAGACATAGTGATAATCGCAGCCTTTACGCAGTGCTCCCCCTTAACGGGTTCTTTCTTACATTCTGGGAAACTAGATCCTGGAACAACAACTGTTACAGCACTTTGAGATTTGCTTCCAAGCGGTCTGTGTGCATTGTTGTTTTGGACCTCTTAACAGGTTCTGTGAGGTCAGTTATCCAGGTAGTAGTTTCTGATTGTTTTACTGATTGAGGTGGAGGTTCCATAGCTTGGGACTTCGCCTTGTTCACACAGTGTCTCCAGTGAGATCCTTTGTGATCCTTTCTGACTCAAAGTGTAATGCTTGCTTTTTCCATTAATACCGTCCTTACTCTCGTAACCAAACTGGTTGATTCAGGGCACAAGCCCCACGTCAAGACTTGGCTGCTGGGACTAGACTGGAGGACCCGACTTGCTCTTGCTTTTGTTTCAGATACCACCAGTCAAAAATCTGAATTTTCTAGTATTGCAGTTTAAATTTACAGAAACAGCAAAATTATTAAGAATTTAGGCAAAATGCTCAAACAGGATTTCCCCCAGAAGATTTCACGTAATCCTTTATGAGCAAGGTAAATGACAGGATTAAGCTTATAGGAGGCATTTGTCCTGAAAAGCGCTGCTCAGCCTGTTAAACTTCGTGCTGGTTTTACAGATGAAGACGTTGAGTCTCAGGGTAAGTGCCTTGTCCCGAGGTTACATAGACAAATGACTGAAACTTAAAATCGACATAGAAAGTGCTGTATGAGTCTCTTCCATAGCTATAGTCCAGTCACGAATCTCATTTCACCAAGTCTTAGTGTGACAGGTGAAAGTTGCCTCCTTGCAGTAGGATCAAGTTCACCCTATTTATTATTACCCATACTTGTGTGTGCTCGTAGGGCTGTGGGTTGGTCTTCCTGAATAGACTGCCTCCCATGAATTAAAGGGTCTTTGCTGTTAGCGTTTCGTGCCTGCTGCTCTAATGCCGAGTAGGTTAACATGGGCACTTATTTTTCCTGTTTCTTTAAAAAAAGAAACACATTTTTGTTGGTTTTGATTTATGAATCACATTTTTCCTTAGTATGTATCCCTCCCCTTTCCTCAACCCAGCAAACCGTCTATTGTTTAAAAGATTTTGGGGAAAAAAGCAAAACTAAACACATAATTGAATATGAGAACATAAGCAATAATTCCACATTTTCACCTCTGTTAATGAAGGGAAGGGAGATGGATTTTCTCGATTCTCTTGTGCCAAAGCTTTGTTGGCATGATTGGTTTGGTCTTGTTTATTTGGTATTTCACTTTACATTGTTATTGTGTAGGCTGTTTTTCTGGTTCTGAGTTCTGCCTAAGTTCATGTACTTTTCCCCCTGCTCTGAATTTCTCATCCATGTCTTCTTGGAGCTATAATGTTTCGTTATATTACCATGTCCTAGTTGGTTTATCCATTCCCAATTGATGGCTATTTACTTGGTTTCAAATAACTGACAATTTATGTAGGGCTTTTAAAGTTAATAAGGTATTTACACATACCTCATTTTACCGATGGAACAGGCCAAGAAAGAACAAGTGAACTTGTCCTGGATCTTGTAGCTATTAAGTATCTGAGGTTGGATTTGAATTCAGGTGTCCCTGACCCAGCACACGACTCACTAAGCCATGTAGATCCCTGCATCTATTTTTTTTCTGCCAGAAAGGGTTCCACCCACATGTTGGTATGGGACCTCTCTTACTGATTTTGGAGTAAGTCTAGCAGCAGTGTGATCCTTGGGACCAAGGGTACAGATATTTTTATTCACTTTTATATTGAACATTAAAATGAGTTTTTGCCCCCCTAATGCAAGATTTTGATAGGATAGATGAAATTCAGTGGTGATAAATGTAAAGTTTACACTTGGGTTCCAAAAGATATGGTGAGACCAGTGGATTGCTGCAGACTCAAGGACATTGAAGCCATCATGGGAAGAGGGGTGGAAGGAACTTGGGATACCGTTGGGACACGAGAGCTATGTCTGACATAGCCCACGTTATATGAAGCATGCTTCATGAAGGGTTCTCAGGCGGAAGAGGTTTTGACAGTGGGGGCAAATTTTCAAAAGAGGCAAATTTAGTCTTTGTATCAAGGAAAAACTTCCTAACAATCAGTGATACAAACATGGGAGAAGCTGCTTCAAGTCGTGGGTTCTCCCGTATTGCAGGTTTTCAGCAGAATCTGATTGACCAACTCTCAGGTGTGTTTTAGTGGACATTCCTTTTGAGTTTGGGTTGGGCTTGGGGGGGCTCCTGATTTTGTGATTTTGCATTTATCTTAATAGATGCAGCAAAATGTTTTAGCCTATCAAGACCATTTTAATCCTGTCCTCTGTTGTATTTATTATGATCTTTTGTGTCATCTACCAATAGAATAAGTATGCCATCTATGCTTTCCAAGTCATTGATGAAAATACTAGAATTGCACAGGGTCAGCCACGGATCCCTAGGACACAGCGCTGGATGACTTCTAGGTTGGCAAGTTGTGAATAGTTTGTGCTTCAGAAATAGGCTTCATCCAGACATTTCAACAACTTGTTTTAGGTAAGTTATGAACCTAATTTTGCTCAGCATTAATAGCAATGTGTATAGTTCTCAGACTTGGTCCCCTCTAAGGGCCCTTCCCACTTATGTCTCATCCCGTGACCCTATGAAAAACTCATTTCCCCTATCTGGGATTCTTTCTTCATCTGTAAGTTGGGCACTTGGGATGTATGTGGGGGTTGGGGGGAGTCCATGTTGGTGGACTGATGGCTTAAATCTGTCATCTTAGGAAAATATTTTTATTGAATTGGAGGTCTTTCCTCATATTCCTCTCTGTTTGAATTAAATGGGTGAAATAGAAGATACTGCTTAAAAATATTTTGTAAGCTGTCAACATGGGCATTATTATTTTTATGATCCCTTCTTCATACCTATACCTAATAGCATTCTCCAGTCAGACATTTGTATCATTTTCCTGTTTGAAATGATGTAACAGATTGTCATGAGTTTTTCTAAAAGGAAAAACAATGTAAAATTAGTTCAAGCAACTTGTTCTGAAAAGATCAACGAACTTGGATTGGGAAGGCTTAGGTTTGAAATCTGGCCTTGCAGCTTAGCAGCCTTGTGACCTTGGGAATCACGTCATCCCTCTAAGCTTCCATCTTCCAGAGAAATGCCCAATAGTTCTGTCGAGTCAGCTGACATAACATGTGGGGAAGGTTGAAGGCTTTGCAGACCGGAGCTCGGGAGCACACTGGGTCAGGATCCCGGTTCAATCACCAGACGTGTGGGCTCTTGCGGCCGCTGACCTAAGGCCTTCTTCTGCTCTAACTGTGATCCTATAACCCTAAAAAATCAGTCAGCATTTGCTTTGTGACTGCCTAAATGAACCCTGAACTGTTCTTGAACTTCTGCAAAGCCTCACTCCTCCTTCGGTGGGTCTCGCCTTCCCTCATCACTTTTGGCTAATGTCTCATTCACTTGTGTGTTTGTGTGACGTTTGCTTCCTCCACTAAGTACCCATACTTCTTGTCTGTGAGCCCACACAGAGTATGAAGGTCTGTACTCAGTGGTGTCTCTTATATGTTGTTAGTGATGGAAGTCTGTTAGAGCTTTGTTTTGCAAAGGTCCTACTAGGAAACCTCCTCATAGAAAGAAAAAGGTCAGTTTTCTACTTCTGAAACTCATGGACTTAAAAGTGAAACTTTGTGTTTATAGCTTTCTGGTTGTTATCAATACTGAAAATTTACTTGTTTCATAGTCCATAAAGAGGGTGATTAGCAACACCTGTGGTTTAACTATGAATTGATCTACCTCCACTTAACCTTCTGTAGCGCATTCTAAATATATTAGTAATTATTCTGTAGATTCATAGTATAGCAAATCTAATAGTTATTGTCAGTTTTATTGGTGGGCTAAGAACTCACCCAACAATCCATAGGGTAAGCCAGGTGATCTTCCTTAGCTGGTTCTAATTTGGCCTCTCTTCTGGTGCTCAATTAAGGTACCCAAGGGTTTTAACACTTTCCTTAGAGTTTTTGCAATTTTCCCTGATGACTCTGAAAAAAGACCCAGGTTAATTAATGCAGTAAGAGATAAGTTTTAGCAGGTGTGGAATCCCACGGCTCATCTACTTAAGGATGAAAGCCTCAGAGACCACCGGACTTTAGCTTCACCTGTGCACCCATGTTCCCTCTCTGTTTTTAAATGCTAAGTAATTGCATTTAACAGAAAATCTGGCTTACAGTGGGCCAAATTTAAGGACACCATCCTCTTTTTCCCTTCCCTGAATCCATCAGCTTCTTTGACACTGTAATCTTGAGGGTTGCTTCTCACTCCTTAAGTCTGCTTCCCACCCACATATGCTGGGGAATGACTGTCAGAGTAATCAGAAGTAAACACTAGGACTGAGAATCCATTTTTCATTGATGCCTTTTGTATTTTTACATCAGTCATTACCTAATATCCCCTACAGCCTGCTTCGCACACCCTCCTCCCCTCCAACACACATGAACGCACACAAAGTTGACCCCTCTTTTCTGTAATGGAGGAAGACAGTTAAGGAAAATCAGCAGATACAACTCTTTGCTCTCTATGCAGTCTGGTGTTCTGAATCTATAATGTCCCATTTGTCTACTAAACTAAGGAGGGAAGGGGAAGTATGTTCTATCATCTGTTGTCATTTGTAATTAAGCCGAGTCTGGCAGCTTTTCAGTGTAGTAAACCTTTTTTTAGCTGCTCTAGAAAAGAAGCATGAGGACGTGTGTATGTGTGCGTGCGCACATGTACGTATGTATACATGCAGATCCATATTTGAGAAGCATTTAAAAAAAAAACTTCATGTAAGCGTTTAATGCTGGGTGGTTTTGCCAGAGTATAAGAAGGTTGTTAATAGGTTTTCTGTGTTCACCTGCCACACTGGCTTCCAGGCTGTTCATTCACGAGAGGGATGGGGAACCTGAGGCCTCGAGGCCACATGTGGCCTTCTAGGTCCTCAAGTGTCACCCTTTGACGGAGGTCCAAGTTTTACAAAACAAATCTTTTTATTAAGGGTATTTATTCTGGGAAGTTTGGATTCAGTCAAAGGATGGCACTTGAGGACCTAGAGGGCCACCTGTGGCCTGGAGGCCCAGGTTGCCCACCCTGCCAAGATACTCCAGACTGCAGGGTTTTCAGATGTGTATCACCTGCATATAGTTGTCTGCATATAGATTGTGAGAAAAAGCAGAAGCTTTTTTTTTTTTTTATACCCCCCCCCCCCCCACGTGCTTTAGCACAGTGCCTCACACATAGGAGGTGCTGGATAAATGCTTGGCTAATAATGATGGCACATATTCCTGTAGTGCCTGCTATGTGGCAGACTCTGTGCTAAGAGCTCTACAGTTATTATTCCCATTCGATCCTCACAAATCTGCCAAGTGGGTGCTGTTACTGCCTCCATTTTACAGATGAGGAAACTGAGGCAAACAGGTTAAGCGACTTGCTCAGGGTCACACAGCTAGCAAGTGTCTGAGGCAGATTTGATTTCCTGACTTTGGGCTCAGCCCTCCATCTTCCGTCCCCCACCTTTATTGCCTGTTTACTGACTACCCAGGCCCCAGTACCCATAGATGCCTGCCTGCCGTGGGAGGATTTGTCCCCACCGAGAGACTCTCCCCTCTGTCCCTGGCTGACCCTCTCTGCCCTTGAAGCCCCTAGTCAGAACTCCCGTGCCTTCATCAGCTGCTCTCACTGAACTGTGTCTTTCATGGGTGTCCCCCTCCCCCCAAGCCAGAGCTTGAGTTTCTCAGACAGGAATGTCGTCCTCTTTGTATCTCTTGTCCTCGGCACATAGAAAGGCTTCTTTCATTCACTGCACTGTCTCCCTCCTCTACTCACCATTAGACTAAACTTTTGTAAGCTCTTCACAGAGTGCCCCATCTTCATTATTTCTCTATTGGAAGAGGCAAACGTAGGCTTGCTGTAAATACTTTCTAATACTTAGGGTTGTAGGCAAAGGAAATGGTGTGGCAGGTGTGGCGGGTTCCCCCGACTGGAGATTTCCAAGATTTCTACATAGATTGTTGGGCAACAGGGGTCCTCTAGTCTCCTCCAACTCTGAGAATTTGTGACTCTAGACCTCGATGAACACAGCATTTGTGGGTAACAACATCCGAACAATTTACATTTTCCCTTGTTTTCTAGATGTTTCATTTCTCTTGATTTTATTTTTTGCCTTGAGAATTCCTAGCTCCACTAACAAGCTGTCTTGTGGTTTATTTTGCCTATGTCCTGCATTTACTTGGTAATTCAACTGCCTATTAAGTACTTTGATCAAGGGAAGAAAAGAGAAAATGAATGAACTGAAATTACTGTTCTTTACTTTTGAGTAGTTCTGGTCAGCAGTATTGTTAGGAAGAAGGATCAGTGAATTTTAGCCTACAGTTCCTACCTTCAAGGAGTTTATAATATTTTTGTGAAGATCTAAGGCAAGAGGGTGAGAGTATTATATTTGCACCAAAAAAATATGAATTAATGCAGGGAAACATGTTTAGGATGTTGTAATTAAAGGTGATTGAATCAATTAAAATCTGTGATATTATTGTTTAACTACCACTGGATGAAAATGGGGCTGGTAAGTAGCTCCATTCCAACATGTAGGACCTGGTAAGTGAAGAGGGAGCCACAGGACCTGGGTTCAAGCTGGACACTCCTCTCATAATGGATGAAATAAATGTCAGTCTTGGTAAGGAGGCCAGGGTTCATTGGAAGCTGCCTTTATCTGCTCATTGCCCAGTCCCTTGCTGGACAGTTAACAGGAGGGTGAGCATTTTACCTCCCCAGGTAAGGGCGCCACCTTGTGGCACAATGGGGAACAGCTAGAGACAGCTGAGCAGGCCTTTGTTCAGATGCATCATTTCCACCACATAAGAATGTTAATTTCTTGTATGATTTTTTTCCTGTCCTATCTAACCCACCCTAAAAGGGCCAGCTATATTCCTTCCCACCTTCCTTGCCTGGATTGCTCTGTAGGGTTCTGTGCATGTAGGGAAGGGACCACATAACAGACGGCTAGTTTCTCACAGAATAGCTCTTTCAGTGACTTACAACCTAGAATAAAGTCAGTAGTTTGAAAAGAAAAGCATTAAAACTAGAACTTTCTAGGGGGTGGTGTGCTATAGTCTTATAACTTTATAAATTTCTACTAACTTGGTTGAAAATCTTACTAGGATGTGCTAAGTTAACTTACGTACCTTAGTGCCTTAGAGAAAATCTTCTCCTTAAACATCGATAACCACTGAATAAGTACTATAGATGTTAAATGAGTATGGGATTGAATTAAAACCTGAAGATTATAGCAGATATACATGACTTACTAATTTGTACAGTTCTCAGCTATGGCTTAGCTCAGTGCTGATACCTGAATTTCTGATAATTATAGTAAAATGAACTATTCTATTTTTACTACTGGTTGCTGCCTGCATTTCTACAAACCCTGACTTAAACCAGTGTTGTATACAGATATTTTGGTTTCTTCTCTAAAATGAGGCAAATATTTTTGGAAGCGTGTGTTAATTACAATTTAACATGTTACATCTTTATGCCTTTGCTATCAAAACAAAACAAATTCCATGTAGAAATAAATATTAGATGAGTCTTACTGACTCCAGGCCAGGCACCCTATCTACTGTGCCACTTAAAAAATTAAACTTAAGTAATAGATTCGTGATTGCATATAAAAATGTAGGCCCAATGACTTTGATTATACCTGTGGCTGATGAAACTCAGCCCAAGAATGACTAAAATTTTTATCCAGGCTTCTTTTAATCACCACACAAATTCATGAAATTAACATTGCAAATTTTAATTTTCAGAATATTTCACATTAACTAAAAGAGTAGACCCAAGTTAGTGTATTCTCGGTCGCTTGAATTTATTTATTTCTGTAGGAGTTTTTCTCTTCTGTGATAATCCTATCCCAGTTTCCTTATTATTTTGGAGAAATGAGACTGCTTCAGGTAGAGAATAATTCTCCAATGACGGAGGAGATTCCTGTAAAACAAAAAATATTGTTTTCCCCCCTAGCTCTCAAAATGCCACAGAGATTTTCAAGCATAAGAAAAGGGAAATATACAAAATTTTTTAAACTCCAGGGAAAAACAGGTTCTTAAATTTTTAACAATGGAACAGATACTCTGATCTTGGTGAGGGATATTATGATAGATGGAGATGTGTTAGACCCAAAGGTGAAGGCAATCATTCCGATGAGGTATGTATTATGGAAGAGGATATCACTAAGCACTAGAGCACAGATAATGCCTTTTTTGATTTAGTGCTTTCTGCTGCGGTTAATTAAACAGTCCCACCAACCTGCATCAGGTAATCTGCAATGTATTCTGGCTTCAAGCAGTTCACTTTCTGGGCAGCAGCTTCTGCTATGTTAACTCTGGTGTCGTCTGGTTTCAGCTTACTGAAGTCAGCAAAAAGGTGTGTGGCTTCTTTGAACAGAGGCACAGAATGACCAGGTAGCACCTAGTGGTAAAACAAGCAGGATCACAGTCATTGATTGGGTCAGTAGATCAACTCCATGTTCTCCCTTTACTGATCACCATCTCAGAAAGCAAGAGAAAAAGGTTAATCTCATTTAAAAAAAATTCAAGTAAAAAATCTCAGTGAAGTGATTTGATACAATTTAGTTCATCTTGGATCAACAAACCTTTGCTCCTCCAGACTGAAGAAGACGACGAAATCCTGCTTCTCTGGACTGATCGACATTTAAAATCACCTTCCACCCACTGAAAGCCCCCTACAACAAAAGAAAGGCAAGCTTTTAAATCAATTAGAAAGGAGAATCTTCTCTTCAACCCCAAAACCAGTGCTAGAAACTGACACTGATAATAAAATAAAAAATGTGGCTACTAATAAAAAAGTATCATGACCCTAGTGTCTAAAAATTTTTAAAGCAAGAGGTAATTTTCAAGGGTCTGAGGACCCTTCCCTCTTGTTCCATTTTGGAACTTTCCTAACTATTGCTTAAGAGCTATGTGGAACCACTTTCTGAAGGAAACAATATAGAGGAGAACAATTATTTGGAGAAAATATGAAAATAAATACATTTTAAGAGGTTTTTTAAAAAGTTGGTTAGTTGAGCACCAAGGAAAGTTAGGTGGAATAAAAAAAATCTAGCCACATGCCAAAAGGAACTGTTCAGACTGATGTAGATATCAATAGGAAGTGCTGTCTTTTTACATTAAGATCAATTATACTGATTTTATTAAATTCTCTTAAGACCAAGAACTATTAACTTTATTTAAATATATGAAAATATTCTGTACAAATTATAAAAGGTGACAGGGAGCACTAGGTGCCATGAATATAGAGGAAAATGTAATAATCCCCACCCTTCAGATGCTTCGATTGTACTAGGTTGATAGTATCTACATTATATATGCATATATACTTTACACACGTGTATAGGCACACACATTTAGGTGTGCATACATATGAATAAAATGGATGTCACTCAATGTTTAACAAAATAAAAGTACAATGTAAAATAACGTCAATCTGTGGTATTTTAAGTCATCCTGCAGTCAGCAGTGATCCCTCTCTCTCTGAGGTTACGAAGATGCCCAAACTTCGACAGAGAAGATCCCAGGTCTACTAAGTGTATGACTACGTGCTCACAGCTTATTTGTACTCAACACTTATACGCACAGACACACACCTCAACAATGCCCTCCTCTTGTTTCTTCTGAATCCTTTTCCTCCATCTCATCGCAGCAAGTGCTAGTCTCCTCTGCTGTACACTGATTCCAGTCAAGACATCAAGGATGGAGCTGCTCCCCCATTCATGTTCTTCTTCCTGGAGAATGTTAGCCTCAGTGAAGGCCCTTCCTGGCTTTTAGTAACATGGTAGCCGGAAGTGCCTGGTTCAGAATCGTCAAATAACCACCACCATGATAAACAGCACTTTTTGAGACTTAGGAACTCAGCACTCATGGCTACCTCTTACTAACTTCTCACAGGCCTAAAAGGGTTCTCCTCTTACCTACAAAAAGCAGGAGTGCCAGGAACCTTTCTTTTCGTTCGTTCATTTTTTTTTTTAATAGGCAACGGGGTTAAGTGACTTGCCCAAGGTCACAGGTAGTGTCAAGTGTCTGGTCTGAGGTCACATTTGAACTCGGGTCTTCCTGACTCCAGGGCCGGTGCTCTATCCACAGTGCCACCTAGCTGCCTCCTTACAGGAACCTTTCACAACCCTATGCTGAACATGAACTTAAAGGATAGACAAGGAAGCCCTCTATTTTTTATAAGGCAGCTAATGTGAATAATACTTTGCTATCTGAGATTTTTAATTCTTCTAATGAAAGAAGAAGTTTTATTAAGCTCAATGCCCTACCATAAATGATATCAGAGAATAACAGTGGGAGCTCAAGGCTAGCAAACAAAAAGTTCATTTTCTAAATATACAGTATGCAAATTAATAAATTATCTGTTGTTATCCTATTTTATTTTATTTTATTTTTTTAGGCAATTGGGGTTGAATGACTTGCTCAGGGTCACACAGCTAATAGGTGTCAAGTGTTTGGTCTGAGGCTGGATTTGAACTTGGGTCCTCCTGAGTTCAGGGCCAGTGCTGTATCCACTGTGCCACTTAGCTGCCCCCTGTTGTTATACTATTAAGCTCTGCTGAATGCTATGGAGAACAAAGATATATTCAAATTCAAGTAATTAAAATTTAAAAAGGCATCTGGTTATTTGGACTCTTCCTATTACTTTTTAAACTTCTGGTGCCACGGGATGGCTTGTGATTCAGTGACTTTAGTTAGATGAGCTGTTAAGTGTTTTCTTCAGCTCTCTTCCTTCACCATTCTGGATAATGTTAACATGCCTGAAAACCAATAATGACCTTAACAAAAACTATGACTACATACCTGGACAAAACGTCCAGCTGCTCTGCAAGCCTCAAGGTAGGAGCGATGAAGTATCCACTTTCCAGCAGCCATTGAAGCCAAATACTTCTCATTCCGAAGAGGATGTCCCACAATAATGTGCGTACAGCTTGAATCAAAGCACTGTTTCTCCAGCACAAGGCCACCTAAAGGAGAGAGTAATTAGTTATGCATTTAAAATGGATTCATTTCAAGGCAACTTTTCCTAGTATCACCCAATATAAAAAAAAAAATCTTATAAGCTTTTCACTATACAGACTAAACATAATGAAAATAGTGAAATAACCACCTGTGATGAAAGACAAATGTAGTCATTAATAGAAAAAGAACTTTTCAGTGTTAAAAACCAGAAAACAGTGGATGAGTGATGTTGTGACCTGCAAGTGAACTGGATTTAAGTGAGGCAGAGCTGCACAAAGTCATCAGCCTCACTTTCTTCCCCCAGAGTCATGGAAGTCCAGTGGTGATGGCCCAGAATGCAGTGGGTGGCCTTGGCCTTTCTAATTTAAGGTCTTTCCCAGGTCTCACTCTGTCTGAGGCAATGTCCATTTTGATACGGATGATGATTCGACATGTGCTATGTGCTATTACATTATATCATCTGATCCTCATTCACTCTGGGAGTTAGGTACTATCATTATCCCCATTTTACAGATGAGGAAATTGTGGCAGGGCTTAAGTGATTCGCCCCAAATCACAGTAAGCTTCTGAAGCTGTTCTTCCAGACATACCAGCTCAGATACCAATATCAATATGGTAGACTTTCTTTTGTTATATCTCACTCAATACAGCATACACCAAACACTACTTAAGTGGAATTACAGTGTTAGATCTTAAAAAGGCCTTAAAGATCATCTGGTTACAAATGAGTAAACTGAAGGTCAGAGACATGACTTGGCCATGCATCACAAAACTAAGGGCAGACCTAAGACTCAAACCTAGGTCTTCAAAATCCCAATCCAACATTCCCTCCACTACATAACAAAGTCTTTTTCTAGGAATATAATAAAATCTCTGGTCTTAAGAAGATGCTGTCCTTTTGGTAAAGTACTTATTCATTCACTAAGACTTATTTCATTTTGTTCAAATACAATTTTTCAAATTGGGGAAGGGTGGGGTAGGAAAGGTTGAGGAAGGACATAAGATGGAAAAAATACTTCCTGACAGTTGATACTTGGATTATTTGGGCCTACAAAATTCTATGAATTTGGTCAGGCGAGAAAAGAGAAATCTGTGTAGAGATCACAGATTTGGAAGGTTAGCAAACTACCAAGCACCTCGGTTTCTCTCTACTCCAAAGATACTTGGGGACCTTGTCAAATCTGTTGAGCATAACTTATAATGTTTTCAAATATGGGAAATCTTCAAATTGTATGGTTTTGAACAGTGGTATCAAGGTCAAATAGAAATGGATCCCTAGAAGCCCATATGGACTTAGAAAACCACAAGTTAACATTATCTTGTCTTTCGTTAAACATTTTCTAATTATATTTAATCTAGTTTGAGCTACACTGGAGAGTTTTGCTGCCTGACACCTCTGGGTTTTGAGTATTTCAAGTGTCTCGACAATTCAATGAATTAGGGAGAACTTTAGAGGAAACAAAAGCAGCAATCCTGATGTGTTCTCTACTGGAAATGCTTTAGGGTTGCTCTATTTGAAGGAAGCTCTAGGATTTATTTCCTGTGACATAACAGCATTCACCCTCTTGTACATCATTGTTTTGGAAGCAGGAAACATTAGTTTTTGTATATTATTCATTATTCTTCCTACTGCTTACAAATACAGTGTACATTTAACATAATATATGCTTTATATACACTGGAGCAACTAACTTGCAAAAAATTAGGTAATTTTGAAGCATAGTAGTCACAACCTAGTTATTTAGCATTACTGAGCACTATAATCCAACATATTTATGATTTCATTAATGTGATTATATCCTCCAAGGAAACAGTATAAACCATTTTTGTCTATCCATCCTGCAACTGTTGTTTACATCCTTTAATAAATCCATTACAGGAGGCCAGCCCAACAAGCTGGAGATATTCCTTGAATCCCAGCGGAGTCTGTGGCTGCCCCTCACTCTTGCTACAAAACTGACCCACCCTTTTTTCTGATGATACCCTTTAAACCACTTCTGATTCATTCCTTGTTTGTAATGTGTCTGAAGGCTCTATGAAGCTTTTCAGTTGCCCTTTGGGTGATCCTCAACTTCAGTTCTTCAGAGACTGTGGTGTTCCAGCACTATCTAGCATCACAGAACAAACTATTTTTAGAAATGGGCCTTTGTTTCAGGGAGAACCTTGAGGTCATTCAAATAGTTTTGCTGTTTCCCAAAGACAATCCGATCTACTCACCTCCTGTTCCGTTCTGGACCACTGACTGTCCACTCACACAGCGTGTGTCCAAGATGTATGTACTGACAGACCAGTTCTACAGATTATCTGTCCAAATGTGTAACAGTCATTCCTTAACCATGGTTTTTCCTATGTGATTACTCGCTCCTAACTCTTCTGAATGATCTAAGGTTTGATATAATTAGCTTGTCATTTACAAATGTGAGCATCTGGACCTATAGAGAATTCCTCAAATTGGACTATGTATTTGGACCTCTTCCGTGATGGTGATGAACATCTTTAGTGAGTACAAATCTCCCTGTTTTATGCCTTGTAATCAGAGGATAAATCTTCCAAGGAATCCTGTATGATTCTGACAGATTCCTGGGCGATTCTTTATTAAAGGAAAACCTTTCAGGTAGCATTTTCTTCTACCAAATGAAATCCTTTTTTACAATCAATACTCGGCACAGAGGGATCTTTTATTCTCTATTAGTCAATTCTGTGATGGTAAAGATACATTTTTTGGTAGAACATTGCTTGTTCTCTTCTGATCCTATCATCAAGGACATAGCATTTCTGTAGAGATAAGGAGGTAGATGGGTTGGTATGCATCCTCCTTTCAGTATTAACAAGGTCAGAGATTTTTTTCCAAGTTGCTGCTACAGCCCAATTTCACATCCCTTGAGAAATGACTCTTTAGAGCCTATGAAACTGTCTCGCCTCACACATGGCAGCCGTCTTCTTTACTTTTGGTGCAGCTCCTATATATTTTTTTCCTTTCAGAGTTATCTCCACTTCCAGTAGCACATCTGAGACAAAAGTCCCTCCAGGCATCAAACCATGATCCAAAACTGGTCATGTGCCTGGACACAAATGTGACTCCCGTACCAATTATGAAGCATAAGATCATAAATTAAGAGGCTATCTAGTCCAGTATCTCTCATTTTGCAAGCCCAGAAGGGTTAAATGACTTTTCCATGGTAGTGAGTGACTGAAGTGGGACTATCTTGTCCATAAAAATGCAACCAGGCTCATTTTTTGTAATGTTATTTAGCACTCACCAGATGTGGCACTTGCTAATTTTTTTCAGGATGTACACATATGAGGCTTCTATAGAAGTCTACATACATGCCTTTTGCTTACTCCTAATTTCTGAATCATATTTTCAAACATCTTTCCCCCCGCCCCACCATTTTCTCCTCTACCCACCTGAAATGATGATAATGAATATGAATATATAAGTTGATTTAACTGGAGCATCATAACAAGCTCTTTGTAGAATTATCTATTTCCTTATCTTCTAATTGGTATTGATGCAATTTGGCAGTTTTTTTTGGGGGGGGGCAAGGGCAAATACTTATCATGAACACTAAAATTTGAGATGATTAAATATCCCATGACATGTTTCTTGATGCCTTTGGATGCACAATAAAACCAATTCAGCCAATTCCTTTATTTGACCCTCCAAGGAGAACCTGTGAATCATTATTCCATTTACTGTAATTCCTTTTGTCTTTGGTTTCATTTATAGAGAGAATAATAACATATAATTCAGTTCTTCATGGAGTAAGTCTTCTGGATAAAGATCTCACAGAGTGCCAAAAGCTGGGTTAAAAAAGTTTGAAAAGATGGGTTCAAAATAGTGATTTTCAGTGCTCTGTGCCACCACTCTGCCACCATGACTACAGAAGCGGAAAGATCTGCACAGGATTGAGGGACATTCTGGGTTTTTTTTTCTTTCTTTTTTTTAAGTTTTGTGGGTTGCCATGGCCAAAGAATTCATTGCCAATTGGCCAGCATACTGGTGATGAGTCTTTTCTTCTTTAACAAGGTAGCTCCTTAGAAATCATACAATCCTGTTACCAGATCTGCACCTAAAGACTTTTCAACATGGTAGAACATGGTAGGGCTTGTATTCCACTGGCAAAGTCACCAAAAAAATCCAGGTTATCTACATGTCAAGAAAAGGCATAGTAACAGGTAGGTCCAATGAGGAATGAAGCACTGAGTGAGTTTTTCAGATTGATAAAGCCCTTTTAAATGCCCCAAACCAGCAAATTGTTTTAAGAACAACTCTGAATGACCAAGTCATTTGGACTATGATAAATACCCAAATTAACTACAAAGGTTCTATGAAGGAGATGCTATCTGCATCCAGACAAAGAACACACAGTCGTCCCCCCCCCTCTTCCCCCTCATGCTAGCCATCTCAGATCAGGTAAATTACAACAATTTTTGGTGACTTTGCCAGTGGAACACAAGCTCTACCATGTTCTACCATGTTGTAACTTAATTGTATATTTGAAAGAAATTAAAATAAGAAAAAAAAATGCCAAAACCTTTTGGCTTTAAGTGCTTTTGGAAGGAATCTTCCTAAAATGTACTACAGATTTCCCTAATTAATTACTTCAACATGGGATATGGAACATAATTTAACTTTTTTATGACTTGAAACTCAACTTGGCCCTCACCATTTCAAGACAATCCCTATTCCTGTCCCTTAATTGATTCTCTATGCCACTTTCCCCAGAGGTTGTTTCAAACTTTTTCTTTAAGTCTTGCGCACCATTCTGTCCCCCAGCTGAAAACCATCCTTCATTCTTTCTTCCTTTACTCCTGTCTCTAATGAAGAGATGATCCTTCTTGTCACAGCCAATCCTTCTATGTCTATCAATGATCCTCTATCTTTTCCTTCCCATTTTAACCAGCAGATTGCACACATTCATTCCCCTTTCCATTTTAATCTTCAGTCTCTTCCTCTTGACTGGTTCCTTTTCTACTGCCCACAGACATACCTGAGTCTTCTTTATCTCTTTAAGCCGTCACACTATCTTTATCATCCTTTTCCCAGCCAACTCCTAGAAAAAGCTATCTATGCCAGTTGCCTCCATTTCTCTTCTCATCCATTTGCAATCTGACTCCCAACCACATCACTCAATCGAGACTGCTCTCTCCAGTTACTGATATGAACTGCCTGATCTTCTAGCTTTTTTAAAATCGCATGCTCCATGAACTCCCAGTAGCACTAGACTGTCACTCCCTGTCTCCTGGGTATTCCGTCCTCTATGGTTCTTGTGACGCTGCTCTCTCTTGGTTGTCCCAAGAGCTCTGCAGCCTCCTTTGCTGGTTCTTTAATCAGCTGATGTCCTGTAACTGTGAGTGTACTCTTAATGTTTGGGCCTGGGCCTTTTTCTCTTCATTTTCCATATATTCTTACTTGTGTTTAATTACACCACCACTATGCAAATCCTTCCCAAATCGATACACCAAATCCTAGTTTCTCTCCTGAATTACATACTTCTAAATGTCTCCTGCTTATTTCAAAAAAGATGGCCGAGTAGCCATCTCAATCTCAGCAGTTCAAAATAACTCATAATCCTCCCTACCTAAGCTACTCCACCTGTGAATTTACATATTTCTGTTCAGGATAACACTATCCTTCCAATCACCCAGGGCAGTCTACCTACACTCTTGGTGTTATCCTCTGACCTCTCCCTATCCATCACCCCTCATATCCAATACTTTGCCAGATCTCGTTATTTCTGCCTTCACAACATTTTTTACTAACCATCTCCTTCCCCTTTCTCTTTACTCACATAGCCACCACCCCAGCTCAGGCCCTCATCACCTCTGGCCCATTTAATTCTAATTGGTCTCCCCTGCCTCTCTTCCTTCTTTTTCTAAAGTGCACATCTGACCATGTCACTCCTACTCAAAAGACTCCAATCTTTCCTTCAAATATGACCTCTTCTGGCTTTTAAATTCCTTCACAACTGCCTGCAACCTGCCTTTTTTACCTCACTTTACATTATTTCCCTTCCTACATTGTACAATCCAGCCAAACTAGCCTTCTTGCTGGTCCTTACGTGACCTTTAATCTCCCACCTGTGTGCTTTCACAGTGGCTGTTCCCCATCTCATAACTACAGTCCCACCACCTCACCTCCTCCTCCTGGAATCACTCCTTTCCTTCAAAATTCTGTTCAAGCACCATCTTCACCATGAAATCTTTCCTCATTGCCCACTAGACACTAGGGCCCTCCCATTTTTTTTTTTTTAACTTTATGTAAATACATTTGAATGTAACCTCCTGGAGGACAAGTGCCATTTTATCTTTGTCACTGTACCCTAGAGCCTAGCATGGTGCCTGGCATGTAGTGAGCACTTAATAAAAGCTTCCTGAATCACTCACTCCAGGTTGTCACTCTAGACACCATCACACTAATTTGCAGTTTGCCCTGTTGTGTGCTGGTAAGTTTTCAGCTCCTCCCTCAAAAATCAGTCAGTCAGCTTTTGCTGTTTCTCTCATAACACTACCTCCTCCCCCCACTCATTCTACTTTGCAGTTTCTAAACTGATGTGGCCTGGGAGACCTGATGACTAAGTTTGTTGGAGAATTATGTTAAAAACAGTCAAAGTCTAGAGCTTTACTACCAGGACTTTGAAGCTGTTATTTCAAGTTCTCTAGAGAGCTGAGGTTGCTAAGTGGTTATTATTGTAACACTAAATTAATTAAAAGGTTAGTCTACTTGCAGTGCAAGTCTACTTCAACCTCAGTTTTATGCGAGAGTTAAAAACAAGGAACATTCACCAAACACACGAGGTCCCCAAATCTTAAATGTAAATGGATTTACATGGATGGATTAAATTATTAGTACTTTAACATCATGACCCAATGGACTAGTAAACAGATTCTGGTCCTAGCTATGATGTTGACTATATGGCATACTGCAAGTTTATTATCACCTCCATCCCAGTTTTTCCAGCTAAACAAGGTTAGTAACATTTAACTACCTAACAAAGCTACTATGTAGGCTTTTACGGTTTAATGAAAAGTATTGTTACCTAATTCCTCAATTAGATGACAATAATCAATTCGCTCCTGAGGATTAAGAGATGATAGTTGAAATCGGTACTGTTTTTCTAATTCTTCATGTGTCTCCTCTGCCTGTACTGTCTGGAATGAAACAGAATTTCAGATTTAGAAAATAATCACATTTTAAGCATATGTACATTTAGCACATTTCTTTAAAAATGTCCGATAGCTTACTCAATATTAAAACAAACCACATTATTACACTGGCAACATATTTTTTAGCTTTACCTTTTCTTTGGGGTGAGGAGCAACAGGTGGGTTGGCTAGGGGGAAAGCAATGCTGGGGGCTTGTGGCGTAGGGATGAGATGGCTGTCTTTTATCGTACTTTCCAGCTCTTCACAAACGGGCTGTTTTGGTACCTCAGTTACACACACGTCTCTAGGATCACAGACAGCTGAGGGGAAATAAAATGCAGCAGTAGGATATTTGAATACAACTAGAAATACATTCTGAAAAATATATTCAATTTAACACTATGGGGACCTAAAAACACATGCAAAAGATGTTGCTGCTTTGTCTCAGGGATTAAAAAAAATCGTCCGTTTTAAAGAGACAAAGTTTTTTCTTTTCTATAAATCTCTTTCATTGTTGTAGAATAATTCCAGTCTGAAAAAAGGGAAAGGAATTTGTACTGAGAACATTAGTATTAGAGAAAAACACCACATATGACATAAAAAAGCATTACAGGAAGAAAATATAAAGCAAAGCTCTTCAGTGAAGGAAACAAACTGAAATCAAGATGATAAAAAAGTAGAGATGACATGAAGAATGTAAAGAGGGTGTTGAGAGACGAATCAATTTGTTTTTATCAATGTAGGAAGGAAGAGAATGATGAAGGACTAGACATCCATCGAGGGAGGATAACTGTGCTCGGGATGTTTTGGGGCTTTAGTAATGACTCAAAACTGAATCTGCATTTGGATATGGTAGCTTCAGGGGGCAACAGCACTTTAATTTTGTCTCTACTGTAAGGACTGTTCTCCAGTTCGAGTTTGTCCAAGATTTAGATAAGGTTTTCTGCTTAAGACTCCAGAAATTTATGAATATGTATTTCTTACATGTTATTTGTCAAAAATAAAACCCCTTATTGAAGCAGCTTAACTGGAGCAACACTAAATAATGGCTATCTCCAAATGTGATATTTTAGAGCAATTTCAAAAGATAAAAAACCATATTATAATTAGGGATCTTTATAGCTAATTTAAAATTTTTATGTTGTAACAGACATAAAAAGAAACTTAAGTAAAAATAAGAAAATTAGACAAGGGCATGTAAAATTGAGAGGAAAGGCAAGGACAAAGATCAAATCAACATAATGAACTAATAATTTCATAATTCTTATGAAATCTCAAATTTATGAGTTATTTCTAAGTTTAAAGCTGCAGAATAAACATAAAATGCTTTTCATTTCCTTTTAAATTCCATATTACTACCACAAACTGATTTTTTTTTTTGTTTTCTCTAGTCTTTCTTTAAAAAATTAATTAATTTATTTTTAGTTTTCAACATCCACTTCCATAAGATTTGGAGTTTTAAATTTTCTCCCCCCTCCCCAAGACAGCGTGCGACCTGATATAGGCTCTACTTATACATTCATATTAAGCATATTTTCCCATTAGTCATGACTATCTGATATTTTTAATAATCAGAAACCACCCTTATTAAACTAATTAATATATTTCTCTTTCACTACCATGTTCAGCAATTGCAGAATCATGCAAAGATTCCTGGAAGGGTGAGTCTTCCAAATTCTTTATGTTAGTTTGAAGCTCAGAATACTGTGTAGGACAGATGGGCCACTGCAAGTTGCTGGCTAGCCTCGCTCTCTCCTCCCGTGCTGTAGGGTCATCCCAAATGATCTGTTCACTCTGGGAGGGCTCTGTGTTGACATCAGCAAGGGCTTGACGAGATTGCCTAAGGAACACACGGAGAAGGTGATGTTCAAACTACCTTTATGATAGCAAAACCCATCTTGTCAAAATTCCTAACTCCCATGAAGATTAGCTCCTGCTAGAATTTTATTTCCTGAACTTGTTCTATTCAAATAACAGTATTAAACAAAATTTGTTACAGTGTCTTAGGAAGAGCTAGTACATGTCCTATAAGTAAATTTTTTTTAAAAAAAGCATTTTACTGAGGTGTTTAGACTTTACATGACTGACAAGTTTCTTTTTCTTTGGGGGGGGGGGAAAGAAAGAGAAGGAACACCTCTTTCCTTCCCCCCCCCCAGAATGAACCTTCTCTTGTGACCAAAAAAAAACCCCAAAACCCTCCAAACAATGAAGAAAAAAACCTGTCAGTTATATTGAAATCTGAGCATGTATATAATATTGTCTGTCCTAGAAGTGCCCATAGGTAATTTTTTTAGTAAACTGCAGTAGTTACTCTACCAATAATGGTATGTATTCAGATTATTAGCATAAATTATCTGAATAACAATTTAAGCACTTATTTATTGCTTTTTGGTGAGGCAATCAGGGTTAAATGACTTGCCCAGGGTCACACAGCTAGTAAGTGTCATGAGTGTCTGAGACCAGATTTGAACTCAGATCCTCCTGACTCCAGGGCCGGTGCTCTATCCACTGTGTCACCTAGCTGTCCCCCAAGCACTGGACCTATGTATCAAGTACTGTGCTAGGTACCAGGGATGCAGACAAAAAAAGAAACCATTTTCTTCCTCAAGGAGTTTACATTCTAGCAAATGAAATAAACACATACATGGATAAGTAAATACAAAATACATTTACTTTTAGGCAGAGGGAAGGGGAGGGAAGAGAATAGAAGAGGCTACACTGATAACAACTAGGGAATGAGAAAAGGTCTCTTTCAGGAAGTGGTACTTGAGCTGACCCTTGGTAGCCAGAGGAGAGCAATTCAGGCATGGGGAAAACAGGTACGGGAGAGATGGGAGTAAACTGACAACCAGGCCAGTTTGGGTGGTACACAGAATAGGTGAGGGAGAGTAACACTTATCTTAATGCTGTCTGGAGGGTCACATAATGTGAATACTTTATAAATCAAATTGTTACAGGGAATAGCTAAAGATCCTTGAGGATCCAAGATAGAGTATAAGCTGGTTTTATTCCTATCTATACCAAAGGTGTATTTTCTCTTTAATTGCTGCACAGTAAGTATAATTTTCTCTAACTGTAGCTATGGGTCCTATATTAAGAAAACTACCATCCATTTACTATGAGTCCTAAAAGTTTTAGTTTACCTCACAGGCATAGGAATGCTGAGAAGCTATTCATTCTGACTCACCCCAGCAGAATAATTATTGAATGTATTAGAATTAATTTTTAAACAGGAAAGGGACTTGTTCTATTTAGTTTAGCCATCATTATTTAGTCACTAATATGCCAATCATGACAAGATATTGATAATGCTGACTAAAGTAAATTAAAAAAAATTTTTCTAAATACTATAATGTTGAACACTAGTAACAATAGTAAATATATAGTGTTTTAAGTTCTTTGCGTTTAAAGGTCTTGAAGTTCTATGATGCTTGCCGCTCTTAACATGCATTATCATCTTAGGTACTATTTTTTACAGATGAAATGAGGTGAGATGACTTGCCCAGTGTCACACAGATAAGTGTCTGAGGCAGTATTCTAACTCAGGTCTTTGTAACTCCAACTACAACTCTCTATCTACTACACCATGCTGCCTTCTGAAAGGCGCTAACACATAAAACAGACGGAAAAAACAAAACAAACAGTGCCTGTGTCTCCTCCCTCCCTCCCCCCCTGGACTTCCCCTCATGAGCCAGACACCGTAATGCTTCCAGGACTCTGCTGCGGCCACTGCGTGCAGACCGGGTGCTGTTGGGCGTCGGAGAAGAGCTGTCGCAACCATTTCTGGAAAGGGGATTCCTCTGTCCTTGTTTCACTACTGATGTGGCAGACATTATTTCCTGCAGCTGCTTTTGGAAGCTCTTCCTCATTTCCAGGGTCTGTGTTAGAGCTTGGAATAACAAGAGAATCGCCACCTAAGGTTCATGCTTTATTTCCTTTTTTCTTTTTCTCAGATGGGGTTTGGAATACATTTCCATTCAGGCTCTGGCTAAGCACAGACTCATTTATTCAGCATTTCATCAGCATCCACCTCACAGTATCACAGAATCAAGCCTGGATGAAACCAGGAAGATCATCCTTCCAGCCCCTTCATTTAGAGACAGAGGTCTGTTCAATGACTGGCTCCACATCACGCCAGACTCCAGACCACTACAGTATGGCATTAGGTGCCGGGACACAAAAGAAGCAGAAACTCTTGCCTTTCAGGGTCTTTACATCCATTGAAAGCACATATAACACATGTGTAATAATCACAACACATAGTAAAGTATAAGGATAGCTCTCCTTCCTTTGAAATGATCATTCCATTTCTCCCTTCTCTGTTAAATAGGGACATTTCATCCCCCTAGTTCAGTGAGGACAAGAATAATGCTACCTCTAGCACCCAGCATGGCAGCTGCTCTTATTACGAATTGTGGGATGGTGTGATGAGAGGATGGATACATAAATGATAGGTCAGTCCAAAGTAAAGACTGAGGTAACCCAATAATAAGTAGATGTTAGCCTATTAAAGCCAGGTCATCAGCAGTAAGGATCATTATGGATTTAGAGCTGGCAAGGGACTCAAGGTCAACTCATCAAACCCCCTCATTTTTTAACTGGGGAATCTGAGGCTCCAAGAGGTGATGTAATCTGGCCAAACAAGTGGCATAGCCAGGACTTGAACCCAAGGATTCTGACTCTAAATCCAGAATTTTTCCATTTCTTTTTTCCCCACTGAATGGACATTTTATTTAATTTTTGTACATCCCTCAGCACTTAAAAAAATTTTTTTTTCAATTTGGGCATGCCCATAGGTAGTCTAATCCAATCTGTAAGCCTAGTACAGTACCATGAGGAATGACACACCTAAAAATGTTTCTTTTTCAAAATAACTCAAATTTCTAAAAAGAACTTTAAGTTTTGTCTTAAAGTCCTTTCCTCAAAACAACTCTGTGAGGTAGGTAGTACACAAAGACTATTAAGCCTCATTCTGCAGAAGAAGAAACAGGCACTGAAAGGTTAAGTGACCTGACTGTGGAAATAAGGTTAGTTCCTTAAAGTGGCATTTGAACCTTAGTAGCCTGACTCCAGTACAGCACTGAATCCAATACTCAAATTGTGTCCTTGGCACACATCAGGCCAAAGGTCTGCAGATATATTTGGCAATATGGAGAGAAGATGGCCATTAGGTAATTCATGGAAAGAAGGCACTTTGTATTAAACATTCATATCATCCTTTACATTGCTCTAACACTTCAAGGATTTCTGCTTTTCTCTCCGAGTATTCCCTTTAACAACATAGATCATGGACAGTCTTCTAAAAGTTACTGGGGTCAAAAAATTCATTATCTGGCAGACACCCAAAAACAAAATAAAAAAGGTATCTTTGTAACCTGCTTAACTTCAGGCTATGACTATAGTTGGGCAACACAAAGATTTTACCTCCTTTGGCAATGTTTGGTATTTCTCCATTTGTACTTGCCACTTCCTTCTGGTCAATGTCCATATCCTCATCATTTCCTTCCAAAGATAAATGAAGAAGAGGCTATTGGGGGAAAAAAATGCAATTTCTCAAAAGAGACCATTATTTTATATATAGGTATATAGGTGTGTATGTATGTATGTATTTTGTATAATGCATTACACATTCATCTCAGGTGTTAAATGTCAAGTCCACATTAAATACCTCATCATCATCTTTTGCCATTTTACTAGTTGATGGCAACCGACTGGCACAAAACTTGCTGTCTGGTACCGCACTTATATCCAGGCTCATTTTGGGATTGTAAGTATGTGGATAAAGAGATTCAGGAAGATGCCTGTATTCTTGAGCACTCTGCAATAGAAATACAATCCTAACAATGCTGAAAAACTATATCAGACCCACAATGTTACAGAACATACGAATAATCTAAATACTTCATGTCTAAGATTAGAACAAAAAACTTCTACAAGCCTATGGTCCTGAAAGCTTACATGAACATGTCTCCACAATGAAAGCAAATTTAACTGTTCTTCCTTTTTAAAAGGAAAAGGATACACTTACGTACTAAATCTAATTCCGCTGCTATGGTACTATCACTGGCACGGGAGTGCTTCTCTACATCAAACTAACATACTGAACCAATTCTCAACAAACGCAGGGAATAAACTTTTAAACTTTTTCATCTGTGCATCTTTTAACTTGTGAGAAGAGCCTTAGGTAAAAGGGAATCTACCACTGAAGAACTAAAGATTTAAGAAATAAGATTGAAGCTTATGACTCCATTAAATGAAAGCACTGATTAATAACCACAATTAACATGCTGATTAAGCATCCACTGTGTGCCAAGCACTGTGCTACAGTGCCAGATGAGCTTCAAAGCTTAGATGAGAACACGGTTCCGGCTTTCCCAGAGTTTACAGTCCACCATAAATACTATGCTATATACTGCTATAATGTATTGTGATATAAAAGTACCAGGGGTGGCTTATACCAAGGAGGAAGATTCAGAAAGGCATTTCCAGCATCTGAGTTAGCTTTCAGGAGTTAAGAAATGATTTAATAGTAAGAGAGGGAGAAGTTGTTTACTCCAAACATGGCCAACAGCATGTCTGGCTGAACTATCGAATGAAACGCAGAGAATATGAGATCAGGCAAGAAAACTATGGCAGCGTCAGACTGCTGGGACATTAAACGTAGGCAAAAGAGCATGTATTTAATCTCAGAGACACTCAGAGTTGGAGAACTCAAATTCCAATGAATCGTCCCCTCTACAGTACTGCCCTCTTTTTCCCCCTCAATAGTTTCTTGACAGCAAGAACTGTTTTTTGCCTTTCTTTGGTTCTCCAGCGCAGTATCTGGCACATAGTAGGCACTTAATAAATTGCCATAACTTGATGAATGACAGGGAGGACTCTTTATTTCCTTAGGCAGCCCAACTGACTTCTGGAGAGCCCTAATTGTTAGAAAGCTTTTTTCTACATCAAAAGCTTAAATTTGCCTCTTTGAAACATCTATCCTTTGCCTGGAAGAAAATGGGGAACTCTTGATTTTCACGCACAGAAGATGAAATTATCAGTGAAAATAAAAGGATGGACTAAAGAGTCAGGAAAACTTGTGAAGAGTTTATTACCACACCTCAGGTGGGTGGTCAAGTGTGTAGTGAAGTGGTGGCAATAAGAATAAAAAAGGTGTGAGATGTTGTAGGGGGAAGACGTGCTTGTTTAGGAAAGGGAAGGGTCAAAGAGAATACCAAAGTTACAGACGAGGGACATTGGACAGTCAGCGGTAGCGGGATTAGGGGGAAAGAAAAGCTTTCTGGGGGACCAGAGTTTTATAATGTCAAAGAATTACTCATGATAATCACAAAAGCTTATCATCAAACACATTTATATTTAATTGAAGTTTGCTGCTACTTTGGAACAAGTTCTGTTTATATTTTCGCTTAATAGAAAGGAAGAAAAATGTTACCTACTTCTAAAAGCCAGTGCTCTGAAACAATGTGAATCCCTCTTTCTTTAACAGCCTTATATTCTCGATTAGTGTCATTTGGTCGCCCTTGATAGATGAAATGAGTCACCGTGTCATCAAAACTCCATCTATGATACAGGCAAATGAAATATAACTAAAAGAAGATACACAAACCAGTTACACCATTGCTGCTTGGAATAGGAGAATGCTTTTACATTCCAGAAACAAAGAAAACTTAAGAACTATATGAGTAAAAGTCTCCTAACAACTTAAGTGAACTCACTGCTACTCCCTTTTAACTTCTGACCTGAGGAAAAATCTTGGAAAAGTATGGCAGGTCTACTTACAAAAGTTCAAATATATCAAAGAAAAAAGAGGGGAACATTTAAAATTATTCAAAACAAGAAAATTTTTTCCCTCATGGATGCCTAATAATAATAATTTCCTTCATTTCCTTTAGGTTTACTTAACAAGGGACCATCCATTAAGTAGCCATTTTTTCCTTAAAACTTACAGGATTCTCCTACAACTTCCATTATAAGTTATCTGCATATTGCATATTAAGATGAAAATGCAAATTTAAATTGGTCATATGAGTCACCAAAACAAAAGAACAGAGTTTGTGTTCTGTAATCGTCTGGAAAATTTACCTCAATTCCTTACCCTCCCATTGCAATACCATGTCAAAATGTCCCACGTGCCTGGAATGCAGTCCTTCCTTACCTCTACTTCCTAGAGGGAGCCCTCTCTTCCTTTTGGAAACAGTTCACTCGTCATCTTCTTTATGAAACCCTTTCCTGTTTCCCCAGCTACTAATGTTCTCACTTCCAAATTCCCTTGAATTTAACTACTTTGTATATATTTGTATTTATTAACTTTATATTTATGCTATATATGTTTTAATGTATAACTCTTGTCTCCTCCACTAGAACCTAAGCCTTTTGCAAGTAGCAATTCTTTCATTCTTGGTATTTGTAAGCCCAGTAGCACATTTTAGATACTTAATGAACACTTGCAGATTTGACTGACTGGTTCAAACATTTCCTTGCCTGAAGGCAAGGGTCTGGAGCAGATCATCTCTTTAAGCCTCTTCAAATCTATGCTTCTAAAACATTAAATACTACAGAATGTTGGACAGGCAGGGATAGATACACAAACTATTCTGACTCTTGTAAGTGAGCAAACTGCCTATTTTGGGAACTCATAACCAACTTCCACTAAAGGCCTTTTGTCCACATTTCTGTTTAGATATTTCTAAGGCTAAGAAAAAACATGATATTAAGTATGACAAAAGCTACTTCAGGAAAATGGGACCAAGATGGTAGAGCAGAAGGAAATTAAACAAGACTATAACTAAACAACTCATCCATTTAATAATCAGGAAACAAGATCTAGATCCCTTTAGGAATGAAAGTGAAAGGCTTCAGACTCAACATACAAGTGAAAGAAAAGCTATTCCTCACTGGTCTCAGCAGGAAGAAATTCTTAAATTGAAACCAACAGACTTCCCGGCTAAAATTAAAACAAACAAAACCCTCAAAACCCAGGCACTAAGAAAAAAATCCATGTTGGTGTAGGGGGAAAACCCCCCCCAAAACCAAACTACTGTTTCTGCTGATAATTAAAAAAGAAAGATTATGAAAGAAAAGGACCTCACTTCTTTTCTCCTCCAGGAAAAGACCTCCACTAGGCCTTTCCCATCAGAGAGGAGGGCACCCTTGGCTTTCATGGAAGATTAAAGAAAAGGCTTCTCTTTCATCTTTCTCCTCATACAAAGGAAAGGATTTCAACTAAAGCTAATGACAGTTCAGAAGTATGTATGGGGAAGGAAAAGGCCTAAAAGACCATAAGGAAAGGAAAAGTTCTCAACTTCATTCGTTCCCCAGAGTAGAGGACACCTAGAATTGAAATCCTAAGGCATAATAAGCACAAAAATGAGTAAAGAAAAAAAGGATTTTCATAAAGCCAGACGAAGGATTAAATTTGTGTATGACTATAAAAGAATGTGGTCATAAGGGAAAATAACTTATGTTGACCCACAGTGCTGCAAAACAGAAAAAGGAGGCAAAAGAGTTGTTAATTAACTGCAAGACTTTGTATAGAACTCTGGACATTCTCAAAAACAGAATGTCTTCAGGATAAGAAAAGGGCTTAAGTTGTTATTATGTTAACTGGGGAAAAATGTTTGGTAAAGAGAAGAAGCTGTAGTTGTTTGAGCAAGGGTATGAAAATTGGGGCAATTTAGGGGAAATTTAGTAGTCTCTTGCAGGCTGCCTATGCATGTACATTCAGAGTGATTCTTACTACAAAATTCCTTAATAAAACTTTTATCTTTTCTCCTCACTTTATCATTCCCATTAAATCTCCCCTTTCCCAAATTTTCCTATTTCTGTTGAAGGCACCAACAATTCAGTTTTTTAACCCATCACAGAGATGACCAAAACATAAACCTGGAAGAGGACAGTAACTCAAAAATACCTATAATCAAAACCTCAAAGAAAAAAAAAACAGTGTACTCACAAGAACAATTTAAATTGTTGGAGAATTGATGAAAGAATTTGATAAAAAATATAAAAGAAACGAAAGCTATGGAGGAAAGAACTGTAAAAGATCAGCAGCCTAACAGAAGAGTTAGTATAAAACCTTGTCCTAATGATAAATTCCCTAAAAATCAGAATAGTCCAAATGGAAATTAATGACTTCAGGAGACAACAGGAATTGTTAAACCAAGTCAAAAGAATGAGGAAACAGAAGGAAACTTAAGATTTCTCATATCAAAAACAACTGACCTGGAAAGCTCAAGGAGAACTTAAGAATCATAGGAGTACCCAAATCCTATGACAAAATTGCTCAGAAATATTAAAACAAGGGGGAAATGTAAAAAGCGAAAAAATCCAATAAATCTCCTGAAAGAAACCTCGAAATGAAAACTCCCTAAAATGAAAATTCCCAGGAACATCACTACCAAAATTTTAAATTTCCTATGAGATGCTAGGGAAGTAGGAATAAGAACTGGCAGCTGACCGCATAGTGGGGTGAGAAAGAATGAGAAGTCCTGGATAACAGTCATCTTGCTAATCCAGCAGAGTAGAAGAGTGGTGGTGCCTTCAAGAGAAACAGGAAAATTTGGGAAAGGGGAGACTTAATGGGGAAACAGAATCAGTAAAGTTTTGGATATCTTAAGTTTAAGATGTTTCTTGAACATCCAGCTTGACATGTCCAAAAGGCAACTGGCAATCTCAGATTGAAATTCAGGGGAAAGACCCGGAGTCATATATAAAGAAATGACCATTAAACCCATGGGAGTTGATAAGTTATTGAGAAAGAGAGCAGAGGGAGATGAGAAGAGTGTCTAGAACAGGAAAAGTGGAACACCTACAGTTAGGGAACAAGCTGTGGATGATGAATCTGCTAAAGAGACTGAAGGTGAACTCCAAGAGAGCAACATCACAAGATATCCAGCAAAAGACAGTGGACAATAACATAAAATGAAGCAGATACAGCAAGAAGGGTTACAACTGAGAAAAGGCCATCAGATCTGGCAATTAAGAGATCATGGGTCACTTTGATGAAGTCAGAAGCTGATTGCAAAGGGGTAAGGAGTAAGGAGAGCAACCACAGCATGACAGCCTGAGGGAGGTAACAGGGTCCAGTGAAGGTCTTCCAAGGGTGGAGGAGACTTGGGCATATTTGAAGATAGCAGGAAAGGAAGAAGTTGATAGGGAGAGGTTAAGGATTTGAGAATGAGGAAGGATGATTGAGGATGTAATCTGTGAAAGAAGACAGGAGGGCATAGGATGTATTATTAAATAAACACAAACCTGTAATCTGCCCCGAGGGATGCTGCGATAGTATTTAGTTCACTCTGTTTCTTACTGAGTTTTTTACTAACACATATAACTACATTGTGAAGTGGTTTGGGGTCTTCCTCCTGTATGTAGAAAAAAAAATAGATCAACCATAAAGAATGTTTCAAATCACATTATTATAAAACATCCCTTCCACTGTTAAGTAACCAATTCTACCTTTTCTGCTTGGGCATCTTTCAGCACAGGGCTGGCAGTAAGAGCTACTGTGTGGCGAGTGCTATTTGCCAGAGCAAGTTTCAAGTTCTTGCCAATGACTTCAGAAAAGGGGGTACTGATTCTTCTGCATCGCTGACTGGGACCTAATGGAGTTTCCAAGGCTGCCAGTGCATCCTATTGATAAAGGAAACAGACTAATTTAGCTACATCTTCACCTGGTGATTTTACACCCCAAATTTTTTACTTAACCTGAAATAAATACAAATTCCACATATGACAAAAGGGAAAAAATTATGATTTTATGGAAGTCTTGTTTGAAGTACTATAGCAGACTGTTTAAAAATCAAGTCTGCTTTAAAAAAAAAAATTTTAACCCCCCCCCCCCCAAAAAAAAAGCCTGCAAAAATTTTACCAGGCTCTGCCATATTTATTCACCAGGGCCCCAAAATGAAGTAACTGAAATAGTAAATATATAATTATCCCTTGCTTACTGCATGAATTAATATAAATCCCATTAGCCAAAAGAACTATAAGAAAAGCTCTCTACAGCAACTGTGCAGTTCACAATAACCTTTGCAGTAGAGCAGTATTATCCCCATTTTAGATGAAACAGGCTCAGAGAAGTCAAATGACTTTTACAAGACCCCAAAGCTAGTAAATATTTTAGCATTTTCAAATCCTGGTCTCAGGTGCTCTAATGCATCAAGTTGTCCACTTTTAAATATATTAGGAAAGGATACATAGAAAAAATGGAAGGATAAATACAATAAGAATAATCACAACTCATGTTAGAGTGTGCTTTAAGGTTTACAAAAGAATTGGTTGAGTTATCAGTATCCCCATTTTACAGATGAGGAAACCGGGGCCAGAGACGTTAAGTCCCTTGTCTGTGGTCTCAAAGTTAGTAAGAAGTAGAGCTGGGATTCAAACCCAGGTCCCCTGAATCTAAGTTCAGCATTCTTTTCACTGTTATTTAACATAAGGGCAGTTAAAGTGAGCTAAAATGAGCCGAGGTTTGTGAAAAATGCTAGACATTACAACGGTTTTACTTTTAAAAAAATGATGAACAAGGTAGGTAAACTGGGAAAGATGGCATAGTTTTAAACAATAACAGAAAGGAGGCAGAATGACTCCTATTTTGTCCCCGTTTTCTTCATTGTGCAGAGAACTGATGAGAAACTGAGGCAAAGAGGTGGCAAGAAAATACGAGACCTCCCTCAAATGTCAGGTCAGTCACATGCAAAAGCCCCTCTAGGAGCCAATGCCCAGCACAGAAGAGGTTCTATTGGTGCTAAATGACTGACTGACAGATTTGTAGATATGACCACAGAACTCCTGCTGGTTATCTCTAAGAAGTTTTGGAGAAAAAGAGAATAATTCCAAGGCCCAAAAGGGAAGAAAAGGGCACTGTTAAAATCCAGATAAATACACTTATGTCATTCAAAATGTAGATCAAACAGAGAAGAGGTCATCACAAAAAGCAAGCACAAGCTCACTTGGAACAGGTCATCCAAAATGAATTTCCTTTTTATTTAGTGTCCCTGGACTACAGATTGGGAGAAATCACAGACACAGGATCTCTTAATTTCAACAAGGCACCTGACAATTTCTTACAGTGTTCTTTAAGCTGGTTGGGAATATATGCCATCTCCAACTAGGAAATATTCCACAGGTGCTTATATAGATTTGATTACTTATTTTGACAGGAAAAAGCACTCCAAATTCCAATGTTAGAAATAGTAGGTAGGTTCCTAAATCAATCCTCCCAAAGTCTGTTTAACGTATTACTATTTCTGAAGTATACTAGTGGTAGAGAACCTAACCACCATGTGCAATAATGATTTTTTAGGTAAACACATTTAGAATTAAAATTTGTACTTCCAGTAACAAGGGCTGGATCTCTCTCCCTTCTTGGTTTTAGGCACTGGGGTTGACTAAGTAGTTAGGTGAATTTCTAACTGTCTGAACACACATGCCAGGACAAGGCATCTGTGTGCCCCAGGTTGTTAGGTTTGAAAATTGGGGCACTATATATTATAATTCATTGGAAGCTTTAGGCCACCATTCCAGCACATCTGAGTTGACTTCTAAAATAAATACTGATAGCTTATGGAGAATGGAGTTTTCTGACATTAAAAATTAATTTTTAGGGCAGCTAGGTGGCACAGTGGATAGAGCACCAGCCCTGGAGTCAGGAGGACCTGAATTCAAATCTGGCCTCAGACCAATCACTTGACACTTACTAGCTGTGTGACCCTGGGCAAGTCACTTAACCCCCATTGCCTAACCCCCCCCCAAAATAAAAAGAATGATAATCAAAATCAATCAACACGAAGGGCTTTGCCCTCAGTTGTTTTTCCAATATTTTTCTCAACAACTTGAAGACATAAACATGTCAAATGTGTATATGATACAATATCAAGCACAAAATTTTTGTATTTAGTACTATGGATGACTGACTCAAAAATCAAAATTACCTGAACAAAAATTATCTAAACAATAGAATCAATCAGCTGAAAACGGTGAGATGAACTCTAAAAGACTAAGTGCCAACACTGAAAATTGACTGCGTAAGTATTGGATGGGTAAGAAAACCTGGCTTAATATCATAGGGAAAAGTTCATGCAGAAAAGGTTTAGGGAGTTTGAATTACTAGTGTCATACAGTTGTAAAAAAATAAACAAAATTAATGCATTACTAAATTAATGCAAAACCCAGATTAAGAAAGTTCAATAGTTACACTGGATTCAGGATTGTTAAGACCACATTTGGAGTATCGTGGCTCTTGCCTAACAAACACTGGCTTGTTATAAAGATCTTTTAGCTCAATATAAAGAACTTTTTTTTGGCTGTCCAAAAATGGAATGGGGTACTTTGTGAAGCAGTAAGTACCCTATTATTGGAAGCATTCTCCCAGAGGTACTACATGGCTACAAATCATGAAACACCTTGACCTCAGAAAAATAAGACCTGCAGGTAACCTAGAGGGAAATGGAAAAACACACGGTATTTAGAAGGCCACAGCATGTTTTCAAAAATGACTTGTGATAGAAGAGTTGTAAAGACATTAATTATCAATGAAATTTATGACAAGAAAAGAGCAGGCTAATCATGTAAGAACAAGAGACGATAGATAGGAAGCCCCAGGAGTGTTACCCCTGAGATAAGTAGAGCTAAGATTTTTTTTTTAAATCAAAGAAAGACCTCTAGATGGCAGAGTAAAGGCAGAGATTCACCTGAGCTCTCCCCCAAACCCCTCCAAATACCTTTTAAAAATGACTCTAAACAAATTCTAGAGCAGCAGAACCCACAAAAAGACAGATTGAAACCAATTTCCAGGCAAAGACAACTTGGAAGGTCAGCAGGAAAGGTCTGTTGCACCTGGGTGAGACAGCAGTGCAGTTCAGCACAGCCTCCACCCCAGCAAAACCAGAGAAGACCTCGGGGTGACTGAATCACTGACGGCAGTGGCAGTGTCCAGACCTCTCAGTCCACAGATGCCAAAGACAGTTTAAAAGGTCAGCAGGAAGAGTCTGTGTCACCTAGGTGAGAGTAGAGTGCAGTCCAGCATAGGCCGTGCCAGCACAGCCCTGGCCACAGCAAACCAGGAACAGGCCTCCGGGTAACTGTATTAGCAGTGGCAGTGGCTCTCAGCCCACAGACAATAAGGGGATCGAATAGCTGGTCAGAAGGAGAATACAGAGGTCTTTCTGCTAGCACTGGGGCAGGACTCTGTTGCTTTGCCCATACTTGGATCCAGGTTGCAGTCCTGCGTGGCAGTCACAGGGTGAGAAGGAGCACAGCAGAGCTCGTGGCCACAGTGGAGGGGGGACCCCTCATAGTTCCAGGGCAGAAAAGAGTGCTTGGGGTCACTCATACACCAGAGCACAGGCCAGGAAAGCAGCAAACACACCTCTCCTTAGATCATATCACCTTGGAAGAACTGAAAATTTACAGGTCCCTAGAAGTATCTCTGAAAACAGTTGCACAAAACCCTTGAAGCTTGGGACAGTTCGCCCTCTACCGTGGAAGCAGAGCCCTACTTTGACAAAGTTAAAAATCAAGTAACAGGCTGGGAAAATGAGCAAACAATGAAAAAAACTGACTATAGGAAGTTATTATGATGACAAGGAAGATCAAAACACATACTCAGAAGACAACAAAGTCAAGGCTCCTACATCCAAAGCCTCTAAGAAAAATATGAATTGGTCTCAGGCCGTGGAAGAGCTCCAAAGGGATTTTGAAAATCAAGTAAGAGAAGTAGAGGAAAAATTGGGAAGATACATGAGAATTTATCATGAGAAACAAGTCAATAGCTCAGGTAAAAGAGACACAAAAAACACTGAAAAAAAATAACATCTTAAAAAACTGACTAGGCCAAATGGTAAAAGAGGTCCAAAAAACCAGTGAGTAGAAGAATGCCTTAAAAAGTGGAATTAGGCAAATGGAAAAAGAGGTCCAAAAGCTCACTGAAGAAAATAATTCCTTAAACATTATAACTGAGGAAATGGAAGCTAATGACTTTATAAGAAATCAAGAAACAATCAAACAAAACCAAAAGAATGAAAAAATAGAAGACAATGTGAAATATCTCATTGGAAAGACAACTGACCTGGAAAACTGATCCAGGAGAGATAATTTAAAAATTATTGGATGACCTGAAGGCCACGATCAAAAAAAAGAGCCTAGATATAACCTTTCCAGAAATTATCAAGGAAAACTGCCCTGATATTCCAGAACCAGAGGGTAAAATAGAAACTGAAAGAATGTACTGATCACCTCCTGTAAGAGATCCCAAAATGCAAACTCCCAGGAATATTATAGCCAAATTTCTGAGTTCCCAGGTCAAGGAGAAAATATTATAAGCAGCCAGAAAGAAACAACTCCAAGTACCATGGAGCCATAAACAGTATAACACAAGATTTAGCAGCTTCTACATTAAAGGATCAGAGGGCTTGGAATATGATATTCCAGAGAGCAAAGGAGCTAGGATTACAACCAAGAATCACCTACCCAGCAAAACTGAGTATAATCCATGAGGGGAAAAAAATGAACATTCAGTGAGATAGAGGAATTTCAAGCATTCTTGAGAAAAGACCAGAGCTGAATAGAAAATCTGACTTTCAAATACAAGACTCAAGAGAAGCATAAAAAGGTAAAGAGGAAAGAGAAATCATAAGGACTTACTAAAGTTAAAATGTTCACATTCCTACATGGGAAGATATTTGTAACACATCTTTTCTCATTATTAGAATAGTTAGGAGGATAGATAGATAGAAGGCACAGGTGTAAGTTGAATATGAAGGGATAATATCTAAAAAATAAAATTACGGGGTGAGAGGAATATATTTGGAGAAAGAGAAAAGGAGATAGAATGGGGTAAACTATCTCACATAAAAGAGTCAAGAAAAAGCTTTTACAGTGGAGGGGAAAGGGGGAGGGGGGGGAATGACTGAACTTTACTCTCCTCAGAATTGGCTCAAAGAGGGAATACACACCCAAGTGTGTATAGAAATCTAATCTACCCTACAGGAAAGTAGGGGGGAAGGGGAGAAGAGAAGGGGGGGATGACAGAAGGGAGGGCAGATTTGGGGAGGGGGAAGTCAGAAGCAAAGCACTTTTGAGGAGGGACAGGATGCAAGGAGAGAGAGAACAGAATAAACGGGGGGAACAGGCTCTGATAAAGGCTATATTTTCTTTCACAACATAACTATAATATATATATATTTACATATATAAGTGTTTTGCATGACTGCACATGTATAACCTATATCGAATTGCTTGCCTTCTCAATGGGAGGGAAGAGGGGAGAAAATTTGGAACCCAGGTCTCCTGACTGATGACCTTTTCAGGAGTCCATTATAACTAATCCTTACTGCTACTATTCTGAAAGTCTACTACCTTTAAAGCTGTAATGTACTAGGGACTATCTAAAACCTATAATGTACTAGAAGTTAAATCAACAACATTTTTTATCTTCCCTTGTCTTGTTCAGATAGTGTTAATAATCCAAATTCGCTTACTAACACCTTTGGTAACATCTATGGCACTACATAAGGAGCGACAGAGCATTTGGTGTTAACCATTCAAACTAAAAGGCTGACAATATTAAGCAATGAGTTCTTACCTTTACATCAAAAGAAGGTTTGAAGAGTTTGTCTTTGGACAGAAATTTAGATGGCGTGTCAAGGTGCAGTGAAGGCTCTTTCTGAAGTGGCTGTACTTCAACAGGAAGGGCTGAGGACTTTCTAGTGTGTTGTGAGATCACAGTATGAAAAGTTTTACTCCGGAACCTGTTTACATCTAAAGGTGTAACAGCTGCTCTTCTTTCAGGTTCCAGGACCGTGCTAGAATTCTCTGAAGTATCTGAATAAGTCTTGTCTACTGTCATCTGAGTTTCAAAACTTTCTTCTGCAGGATTAAAAGAAATAATACAAATATGAACCAATAATGCCCTCAACCCCAACCCCCAGTCTAAAACCTAAAATTCTATCAAATACATCAACCTTAACATTAAGTATGGCCCATCTATTTTGTTTTTTCCTTGACATCTTATGTTTCTGTATACATTATTTCTGGATATAACAGCCTTATCTACCCCTTATAACAGTTAAGCCAAGCTCAGTGACATCTGCTAATGGATGCAACATTTCATGCCCACAGTGACCGACACCTTTCCATGGAAAGGAGGGAGGTACACTGCACTTATTTCATTACACCCAACAGGGTAGCTTGCAGTAAATGAATGTGTATTGGAATAGGCTCACATCTACATCACTGAAAAGTTAGTTCAAAAATTGTGCTGGCTCAATCCACCTCTAGGAAAAAAAAGCTCTTTCAGTAACATTCTTTGGCAATTTGTATACAGTTAAAAATACAATTATACAATTGTATACAAAATACAATTTGTACTGTATAATTTGTATTTAATTAATATAATTTATACACCTTTCTATGAGAAAACTAAAGTCCAAAATATAGCGTACTCTCCTTTACTCAACTTCTTTTCATTATTATTATTATGCCTGAATGATACTCACAGGATGTCTCATGCCTGCAGGTAAAGTAAGTGTTAAATGGCTGCAAGTCATTGGCAGAATCAAATATTTAACTAAAGTTGCTGCATATTTATGATTACAAAGGATGAAAGCATAGGTTGCTGATGTTTTTGGACACACAATGAAAGCTTCATAATTTGATCAAAATTATTACGTCCTCAAGTCATATTTGCTGAATTTCCCAACTGTCTTGGGAAATGTGTCCTGTTCAGACAGCTGTTTCTAGCACTTTTCTCAAACTCTTCAACAGTTTGCCCTGAAATAACACCACTGAGATGTTATAGAGCAAGGGTTCTTAACTCGGGGTCTGTGAACTTAAAAATAAATTTTCTTCTATTTCAATATAATTGCTTTCCCAAGTAATCCTATATTTTTTTACTCTCTGAGCATTTAGAGAATAGGTCCATAGGCCACGGGCATCAGCGGACAACCAAAGGGATCCATGACACTAAAAGAAGTAAAAGACTCCTAATAGACAGGGTTCCCATTCTATTTTAATTGCATGATGGTAACACTAAATAGAACCTAGACCTTCCATTCTTACCACTTGTTCTACCTTCTAATGCAGCCATTTAAAAATTCTTTTGAGAGACTACAGAAACATTGTAAGTTGTTGTATATCTTGGGGGTTACAGAGAATGAAAATTATCTGCACTATATTTCCAACCCCAAAGAAAATTTAGAACAGTAACCTATTACGCTTTAATTGGACTTTAAAATACAAGTGCCCAAACTGCAAAAGCAAAAATCAAAGCTATTTCCTAGGACAGAGGCCCAATATAACTCAGCATCCCTCCCACCAAATTGTTCTGCTCCAGCAATAGAATGTAAGATCTATGGGAACAGGGGCTGTTTTCATTTTTGTTTTTGAGTACCTTGCACATAGTCATTTGATAAATCAATGTTGCTTTGAGTGAGTTTCATTTGTAAAATAAGAGAATCTGAATTAGTATATCTATAATCCCATGAATCAACTAATCATAGAAACATTCATAACAAAATAAAGTCAAATTGGCAACCTTGTTTGCATAGATTTCCAACCATGAACTTGCATTCATCTGCTCTCCTTCCCAACTTAGCAGTCTCCAATATCCAAGCCATAGATACTGCAGGTAATCCCCACTTTTGTGCAGCCTGATATTTAGAGCCATCTGGTTGTTTCACTATAAGATGAGTACTGGCAAACATGTCATTCTTTTCACTGTCCTTGCGCACAAAGAATTCTTGAACTCTGAAATTGTTAAGAGTATACATGCAGAATTTAATAAGCTGACTTGCCTAATACAATAATTTATCTAGGCTGGAAGCAAACAATAAGGGATGCTGCTGGACAAGATATAATTAAGCTCCTCTAACCAAAAAAACAAACAAAAACAAACAACCCCCCCCCCAAAAAAAAAACCAGAATGCTACAAAAATTATTAGCAGAGATAATCACTGTTACTAAAAAAAAAAAAAAAAAATACAAAATGCACCTGTACAACCATGGTCAAATCATCCCTGTGCCTTGTTTTCTTTATCTCTAAAATGTCAATGCCATCTGCTTTTGAGAAGTTTTTCTTCGGGGGCAGCTAGGTGGTACAGCGAATAGAGTACCGGCCCTGAAGTCAGGAGTACCTGAGTTCAAATCTGGCCTCAGACCAAACACTTAACACTTACTAGCTTACTAATCCCAATTGCCTTTAAAAAAAAAAAAGAGAGAAGTTTTTCTTCTATAAAGTAATTATTAATTCTTTTTTTTTTGTTTGTTTTCCACATCACTTTCATTTCCAAACACATTCCTGCACCCTCCTCTATCCTGCTAGCAAGCCCTTGTAAGGATGACAGAAGAAGATGGGGAAAAAAAAAGCAGTTCAACAAAACTCTCATGTTGCCAGAATCTCACAGTATATAATAACATTCTACACTCAGAGTTCCCCCAATTCTGCAAAGAAGGAAGGGAGCTGCATGTTTTCATCTCTCTCCTGGAGTAGAGCTGAAGCCATTCTAACCGCAAAGCTTTCATTTTCTTTCTTTCTTTTAAGGCTGCAGTCACTGTGGGGATACTGTTTTCCTGGTTCTGCTTCCTTCATCTCTCCATCACTTTCCATAAATCTTCCCAAGATATTGACATTTTACTGGGGAAAGGGCAGAGAGTGGCAGACAGGGAAAGGACAAGGTAAATAAAAAACACAGTAGGAACAGACAAGAGAGGCAAAGGAGAGATCTAGACAAAGCTTAATAGCATGAAGAGTGGGTGGGAGAAACCAGGGAAGGACACCTAGAGGAGGGGAGGGGAGCTGAATACTGAAGAAAAACCCTCAAGGATGGAGGTAAGAAAGGACTGCAAGTAAGGCACAGGGATCACCTGGGCTGGAATGCACTGTGGCAGAATGGTAGAATGGCAGATCCAGCTGGGGAGAAGATAGGAATGTGTAAAAGAGAGTGTTAGGACCTAAGGCTACAAAAGGAAGCTTGCAAGCTGAATGAGAAGCACCTTAAATGCCAGGCTAAGGATCTTGTATTTTATACTACAGAGGGAACTGGGAGACACTGAAGATTTCTGAGCCAGTGAGTGAGTGATAGGTTCAGATCTGTGCTTCAGAGATATTATTCTTGCAACTGAGTGACGGACAGATTGGAAAGGGAAGAGCCTGGAGGCAGGAAGGCTAAATGGGGGCTGTTACAGTGGTTCAGAAGAGTAGGCAATCAAGGCTTAAATTAGGGTAGTAGCAATATGACTGGAGGAAAAGAATGAGCAAAAAGCACTGTTGTAGGAGCTGAGGATATAAATACAAACATGAGATAATTCCTGCCCTCAAGAAGCTCCCATTCTAATAAGGGGAGACAAAGTTTGTTCTAGAAAATCCTAAGAATGGTGAGTGGTACCATCACTAGGGCCAGTCTCTGCTGTCTATGCCCTTCTAGAATTACTAGCAGAGGAGAACACTATGTAAGCTGGCACAATATGCATGATAGATGGAAAAGAAGTATAGTATTGGAGTAGCTAGAGAGAGTGAGTTAGGTGGGTTTGCTCTCATTCACACCAATCAGGATAGCACTAGTCCTGGGCAGGATTCCAAAGGTGAGGAGAGAGTGTGGAGGAGAAGGGTAGATGACAACATTTCTGAGGAGAGATGAATATGAAGGGGACAGATGCAAAAGCTGTTGTAAAGGAAGACTTGGTAAGTTTAGTGAATGATTAGATATGAAGAGCTAAGACAGAAGAAGCCTTTGGAGTTTCAAATCTTGGTGCCTGGGAAAATCATGGAGCCACCAACAGAAACAGGAGAGTTTTAGAGGTAGGGCAGGTTTGAGGGTGATTAACCGTAATATCCATTCAGTTTTGGACATGTAAAATTTGAGGTGCAAATAAGACATTCATTCAGGTGGAGATAAGGTAGTCTGAAATGGAGCAGTGATTCACACCATAGCATGTGTGGCTTGTTCAAATAGCACTCCCTTTATGTCCTTACTTTACACATGTATATTGTATTCATGGACAATGACAAATTCTACTTTGCATGTTTCAGATTACACCAAGGCTACATGCTAATGAGAAGGCATACCTTGCTCCAAGCAGGCTTGCTAAGTATACCAAGGAATCTTTCTCTGCTCCAACAAACTGGCTGAATGAAAGAACACAGTTTTCTAAAGGATTACCACTTCCTTTCAATACTGGTACTGGTGTGAAGAGTGGATTTGATTTCAGGTCAAAAAGATTTTGTCGTTCAACACAAGTAATCTTACAAGACAGAAAACAAAAACAGGAATAAGGTATCATGGTATAATGCAAGTTCAGTTATAAAAACTCTTGTCTAGATGGGAACCATTAATTATATCTTCGTGCAAAATTTGACTTTATTTATTCTCAATATAATTTTAATCTATACATATTCACACATGCATATACACACAAACACACACCTTTCCTGAGAATAAATAAGGAAAAAACTTTCAATTAAGAAGTAAACAAGCACAGTAGATAGACAGCAGGCCTTGGAGTCAGAAAGACCTGGGTTCAAGTCCTGCTTCTGATATCTACTGCCTGGGTAACCTGGGCCAATCACTTAACTTCTGAGAATCTTAGGTGCTAATAAAGGGAGTTTCCTCATTAGAAGTTCACTAGAGCAATGAAATAACAGGTCTGATAAAAAAAAATTTCCTCCAGCACACAGAATAAAGAATATTAAAGCTAGATGAGAATATTAACAACCATCAGACTGGCCCTCATTTTAGGTCACTGAATCATGCTTTACAATTGCACCTCTCTGCACCTCTTCCCCCAAAGAATGGTCACTTTTTAAATCAATTCCTTCTTAAATTACAATATCTGCTTTGTTTCTGAATTCTAACTCAAGTGCTGAGCATAAAATCTACCAGTTTACTACACCAGAACTGTATATGCAATAACAATCAATAACCAATGTGTTCATGGGCTATCCTTCAATCACAAATTCTGATCATTGTCTATTTCTAACAATGTTACTTGCTGATGTTTCAACTGCTACAGTTTCCTCTTACCAGCCATGTATTTGTAACAACTTCTCCTACAGTTGACTCCACTTCACACCCCAGTAAAGGAACCACAGCATAGTCAGCAATAGTTCTGCTTTGGAGGGGCAGAATTTTTCCAGCATTTTCTTTAATAACGTCGACAATGCAAGATTCATCTTCTTCACTAAAACCCACAACAAGGAACTTCTTCCGGCTAAACAAACCTTCAATAATTGTAGAAGTCTCAGGCAGTGAATTGTGGCTGAGGAAAGATGGGTTATCCCCTTGTACAGCAGAATGAGTGGAATCATTAAAGATCCCAGTTTCCGACTTCTCACCATCATCTGAAAAGAGAAAGGAAAAAATTTTTATCAATGGGAGCAAATTCAGATTTCAACTATAATTTGCTGCTGAAGTTACATAACTGTTACACAACAGTTACATAACTGGCTTTTTCAGGCACTCTCACGTATTCTGAAGGCCAGTAATATTCAGTTAAGAAGTGATAGCATCAAAGAAAAAAAGAAAATAATTTTAAATGGCATATTTGCCAAAGAACAATAACAACAGAACCACACTACATTTGGACACCTCAATCCTCAATGTGCACACACCCCTGCCCTGCTCACTGTCTCAGAAGAAACGTCCAATGAGATGAATTAGAGATGGATCAGGTCAAGCACACATCACGAAATCTGTGATGAAAGTGATATGGTTTTGAAAAAACTGAGGGACTGATTTTAAGATATCCTAAAGAAGGGAAAATACTGAACCGGGTGGAAAAAAAATACAGATTACAGTATGATGCTTCCATTTGCCTCCCCCCCCATAGCAACTGACAAGATCAAGATGGAATCAGAACCCCTAGAACTGGATGCCTCATTTTATAAAGGAATAAAGTGTGGCCCAGAACTTAAATGACTTACTTAAAATCACACAAACAGAAAGAACCAATGCTGGGAACTCAGGCCCCCTGACTCCAAATTCTGTACACTCTTTTTACTAAATCACACTTGCTTCTGAGGACTTTCTCAAAAAGATAAATGAACCTTCAAAAGATATTAACAATCTACAGAGGAAAAAATAGATGAAGAATGTCTATTGTCTAGATTATGGCATATAGTTAGATGTTAGTCTCTTAATATGTTTATATTGTATATATGTGTATATACTGGACAGGAACTGCAGCTAAATAGAAAGTTGGTCCTAGGATAAAAAAAAGAGTAAGAAGTCCAACTGATTAGCATACTGTAAACTGTTTAGTACTTTCAACAATTCCAATGTGTTCCCCAAGCTTTTTAACAGTAATATTCTCCTAATGATGTCTATGTGGATGCAAATCTTGTAAGGATCAAAATCTCTGGAAATTCAAAATAACAAGTAACTTAAAAGGACAATGGATAAACATAGACTATTATTATCAAGGAAGCCTATAGGTTGAGGCATTTTAAAAAAAAATTGAGAAATCTGTAATTGGAAAAGGAGGGACAATACTGACAGAACGCTGAAGCTGTATGTTGGTACCTGTCTAATTTTTTTTAAGTTAGCAATATTTTTGTTTTTGTAGCATGTACATTTCCCACACTCTTCCCTCAAGCCCTTTTCAGAGGGCAATGCTTTTATAGTAAAAAAAGAGGATGAAATAAAAAGTCCTCAAAACTAATAAAGAGACCTAAAAAGTCTCTTAAAAGTTAAAAGTCATATTCCAAACACATGAACACCCACTCCTAAAAAGAAAGAGGAAGGGGGCAGCTAGGTGGCACAGTGAATAGAGCACCAGCCCAGTCAGGAGAACCTGAGTTCAAATCCAGCCTCAGACACTTGACACTCACGCACTAGCTGTGTGACTCTGGGCAAGTCACTTAACCCCAATCGCCTCACCAAAAACAATCAACAACAAAAAAAACCCAAACCACAAGAGGAAGGAGGTATCTTTTCATATATCTTTTAGGGCCAAACTTGCTTGGTCATTATAATTTTGGAGCATTTAGATTCACTTCTTTTGTTGTAGTTCTTCCCATTTACTTTGTTGTAATCACTGAGGCAGCTGGTAGAGCAGTGGACAGAGCACTGAACCTGGAGTCATAAAGACCTGAGTTCAAATGTGGCCTCAGACAGTTACTAGTTGTATATCCCTGAGCAAGTCTCCCTCAGTTTCCTTATCTGTAAAATGGAGATAATCACAGCACCTACCTCTCAGGGTAGTCACAAGGATCCAACGTGACCACATTTGCACAGAGCCTGGTACGCAGTAAGACTTATATGAATGCCAGCTCTTATTACTGTGTGTAGTTCTGTCTCCTCTCTATTCTCCATGTTTACTGTTCCTTCCAGCACACTAACAATTCCATCCCATTCATGCTCCACACTTTGTGGAGCAGTTCCCTATCGCTGGGCATCTCCTCTGCTTCTAGTTCCTTGCTGCTCCCCTGGCAGCATTACCCTGGGACTTCTGAGCGAGTTCCTCACCAAGTCCCAGGAAACTCTTGCAATAATCTCATCATCCTATAAAACGTCCCATTAGCCTTGCTTTGGCATGCCACCTCAGGTCTATCACTGGATGATGAGGCCATGAATGCCAAAACTCCACCGGCCAGACATTTCAATTCTTACCCCGCTGTACTACTTTGGGACTTAAAGGTATTCTCCACTAGGCCCCTGTGTTGAGCGCCTTCTCCAGCCACCAACCACATCCCATTCCTACCCTTTGCTTTTCAGCTTCTTTTTGTGTTTTCTCCTTCCCTGTTAGACCGTAAGCTCCTGAAGGGCAGGGACTATCTTTCTTTTTTGTATTTGTATCACCAATGGTTAGTTCAGTGCCTGGGGCTTAATGTTTATCTATTGACTGGTAGCCCAAATAAATATTTTTGTGTCTGTGAGGTTGTTCTTTTAGTTACTAAACTTCTCTCAAGCCACATATACAGTAGTAAAGGGTATACTGGACCAAAGGGTCCATGGACATTTCAGTCACTTTATTTGCATTATTCAAAATTAATTTCCAAAAGGTTCTACCAATTTATAGCTCCACCAATGATGCCTTAGTGTGTCCATCTTTCCAACGTGGACAACTCCCATCTTTAGTCATTTTTGTCAATTTAGCATGGAATGTTAAAAGAGCCAGAGAAAGGTTTCTAAAATACTGGATGAATTTCTTACAGAAGATTTATGAGAGAAAATGAATAACAATCACAAGATGAGAAGGCATGAATAAAATACATTAGATGGAGAGCCTACATTATAAGATTACAAATACATCAAAGTATTGCCATATAAATATGTATCAAAGAACTTAACAAGGTGATAGCTACATAAACTTAAGAGGAAAACAACTCCTGAAATTATTCATTCCTTATAAATCTCAAGAGAATCAACATGGTATGACAGAGAGAGAACCAGCCTTGGAATCAAGAGGTACTGGGTTCAAGTCCCACCTCTGAATCTTATTGGATGTGTGACCCTGAACAAGTGAATTGACTTCAGTAAGAACAGTTGGTAGAGCAAGTTTCCTCAATAGGAGCTCTCTATACCAATGATCACAGGTCTGAACCACAAAGAAAATAAACTGCAGTACTGCTGAAATTCCTCCTTGTTTCACAATGAGGCTGCAATCTCTAGACATAGTAATCGACGCAAGTAACAGCGTCCAGGATTCCCAAAAGGCTCACTCTTCAGAGTAAGGTTGAGTTGGAAAATGGTTAACTGGACCAATGGGGTAAATGACCATAGACTATGTATCTTATAAAATAAGGATATATTCTCCAAATTACACTTAGCAACAAAGAAGAACAAAAGTATCAAATTCCTAAATAAATCACAATATCCATAAAAGCAACAAGTTACTGTAGGAACTGTAGGAAGTAAAACATTTTTAAGAGATTTCTAGTTAGCCTGCAAGCTCCTCAAACAGGCACCACTCTTCTTTCATAACCTTAACAGGATTTAGCACACTTCTGTGACAGAGAAGGTACTTAAACATTTATCAATTATACTCCATCTTTAAAATATGGCCTTCAAACTTCCCTAATGAGTAATAATTATCATTTCCCTCTCTGTGAGGATGGCTCCCAAATCTGTATCTCCAGATCCAGTCTCTAGCTTGACCCCTCAATCCCACATGAACTAATTTGCCCAATGGACATCCTCTCAAAGTGGATGTCCTTGAGGCATCTCCAATTCAATGTGTCCAACACAGAACTCATCACTTTCCCCAAACCCTGTTTCTGTTGAGGGTATCACTGCCCTTCCAATCATCCAGGTTTGCAAGCCTGGAGTCAGCCTCAGCTGGATCCACCCTCAATTCCACATATCTAATCAGGCCAAATCTTGTCATTTCCACTTCCACCACATCTCTTGTATCCACCCCCTTCTCTTTACTCATAGCCACCACCTGAATGAATGCAGAACTGCATCTTACATGCTTATTTTAAGTACTGTGCTAAATGATGGGGAGGCAAATACAAAAGTCAGACAGTCCCTGCTCTCAGGGAACTTACATTTTAGTCAAGAGAGACAAAACGAAAGATATAGGGGGACAGGGCCCAGGAAAAGGAGTTTTTTTCCTCAAGTCTCTCTCAGCTCAAATTCATGCTCTACATGGCTGTGTGCCAAAAAACGGGGCTGCTTTTTTATGACTTTGGCAGCACAGATCAGACCGTGCCACCACCCTACTCAATAAATTTCAGTGACTCCCTATTGCCTCTAGGATCAGCTACAAAACTCCTGTTTGGCGTTTAAAGCCCTTTCCAAGCTGGCCTCATTCTCCCTCCTCTGGTCTTATGACCCATTCCTTCCCCCCATGTATTCTATGATCCAGCCAAACTAGCCTTCTTGTGTTTCTCACATATAATGCTCCACCTCTACCTCCATGGCTATGTACCGACTATCCCGTTTCCTAGAAGACTTAGGCTAAGTGACACCTTCTGCATGAGACCACAACTGTTTCCCCACATGGTTATTTTTATCTGCTTTGTGTACACCTATACATATGCACGGTGTCTTCCTCTTCCTTCAGAATCTAAGCTTCCGGACAGTGGGTCTTGTTTAGCTTTTGTCTTTTTATCCCTAGCACTTGACACATAGCACATGCCTTAAAAATTCTTGTTGAATGTAGGAGTTTGTCTTGCTTGACTATATACATATTTGTTACAAGGTTTTTGTTTAACTGGGGGGATATAGGGAGGGAGAGAAAAAAATTTTAAAAATATTTGTTGATTAGTTGGGGATTCAGGGGGATGGTGAGTTCACCAACTGGACTGTTTACTGACAGGACTTTCAAGAAGCAATTGTAGTCAGAATTAGAAACCTATGCAATAATGGCTGCTCATTGCAGTGACCAGTGTTATCTTCAAAAGTTAACAAAACAAAACAAAAAAAGAAACCAATGTAAAAGCATCTTTCAGTTTAGAAACCAAAACATCAACCCATACACCTAAGGTTTTAATCTTATGGTTTTAGGTTTTAATCTGAGATGCAAATAAAATTTACTGGATAGACTACTGATGGAACTGAGAATGAGACTTGGATTTCAGCTGCAACTTAAAAAAATCCCTTAGTGTCCGAGTTTCACAATTTACAAAGAAGATAAAAACACCCCTCTATCTCACAGGAATATTTTAAGGACAAATAAGCCAAATAAAAATTAAAGTTGATATTTTTATCAAATAACAATAATATAACAAATAATTTTATAAATAGTTTTAAGAAAAAGCCGTAATTCTCGTAAAATCAATCTCACTTATACAGTTCTTACCTATCATGTGATCACTCATATATTGGGAGAGCAAGTCTTCATCAGCTTGCTGATGTTTCTCTGTGTCCACAAATTCTTTCTTAGAAAAACTGTTATTTCTTTTGGAAAGTGCTGATTTCATTCCTGGTTGATCTGAAACAGTTATCTCCATTGGCTGGTAATTCAAATGGATGTATGGTTCCTCAGAAAGCAGATAACCTTTACTAAAACACTCCAGCAGCCATTTTGGTCCCACTACATGAGGCCTATGAAAACAGTAAATACAGTCACGATCTATTATTTTGAAGCATGAAGACCAGTCTTTGCTCAATGGTTTTCTATACAGAATTTCTATAGCCATGTTTACAATTTACAATAAAACCATTATCACCACAGAAACTGCTTTAAAGTAAAAACAGTCAGAACCTGTGTGTCGATTTTGTCCAAAATTGTTTTAACTCATCATCATAATCTCCAACAATAACATGGGTCACATCTTCATTAAGCTGATTAAAGCGAACTCCACCACCACAATTAATAAGCCTTCTCAGTTTATCTAACTTTCTGCCACTAAAACCACAAAGGTATATCTGCAAAGAAAGAATAAGAAAATACTTGCGTTACACTAAAGTGTTTGGTACATTCATAATCCAACTCCCACATAGCCCCAAATATGTATCTCATATTATGATCATATCCTTGCTATTGGATTGGCAAAACCTACCCCCAGTTTGACCCACAATATAACATAACAGCTCACATTTACACAGAACTTTAAAGGTATACAAAGCATTTTCCTTAAATAATTCTGTGGGGAGAGTATATGCATAAGGACTAATATAATATCCCCATTTTATAGCTGAGGAAACAGGAGGTTAAGTATCTTATGCAGAATGACAAAGTTTTTAAGTATCAGATCCATTACTCACTCATGTCTTCTGCTACTCTTTCCACTATGCTAAGCTGCCTCTTAAACCAAAGCTATTTGTTGAACTCTCTGGTTCTCTTTGAGAACTTGATGTTCTTGCTAATTTAAAGTTGTACTAGGTCTTTAAAATTCTATCTTTTGTAGCAAAAAAAGAAATGTTCCCAGCCCATTCCTCACCCACTTCTCTCCTCATTAAGCTCATCCTGTCCATCTTCTGAGATTCAGCTCAAGTCTCAACCCCTATCTGAGCCCCTTCCCAGGAACACTGGTTTATGGTGATTTCCTCTCTTTCTCATACCTTTTGTCTGCCCCACTCTACTAAGACCTTATTATATGTCAATATGTTTGCAATGATTTCATTCTCTGTCCCCAAATTCCACCCCTCTTATTAACTCCCTTTTCCTACTGAGGGCCCCACCACCCTCCCACTCACCTAGGTTTGAACCCTTGGAGTCATCTTTGACTCTACTCTCCTTCACCTCCAAATCCATCAGTTGCCACATCTTGTCAATTCTGCCATCACAACTTTTCATTTATTTGTTGTTCTGTCTTTACTGATATGACCACAATCCTAGTCTAGGTCTTTTTTATCACAGACTGCCTTGACTACTCCCACCACCTAATTAGTCTCCTTTACTCTAGGTCTTGCCCTCTCCAAACCAATGTCCACATAGCCAACAAACTGATATTCCTTCAGCACAGGTCCTTTTCACTCCACTTCTCAATAAGCATCACTGGTTCCCTAACACCTGTAGAACAATCCATAAAGTCCTATTTGGCATTTTAAGCCCATTATGAGTGAAATCAAATCCAGGCACTATGTTAAACACTTGACAGCAGTCCCTCTTCTCAAGAAGCTTACATTCTAATGCGGAAGTCTCCATGCAACAACTATGTACAAGCGAAACAAAATGAACAGCCAGGAGGCCAATGTCACTGGATCACAGAATAAGTGGAAGAGAGAAGACTAGAAAGGAAGGGAGGGTTCAAGTTATATAAGCATTATAAGCATGAGAACTTTTTACTTAATGCTACATGCGTAAAAGCGAGAGAGACAGATAGAGATAGAGGTGAAGAGAGAGAGAGAGAGAGAGAGAGAGAGAGAGAGAGAGAGAGAGAGAGATGGTCAGACCTGTGCTCTACCAAGATCAATTTGACAGCTGAACTGAGAATAGACTAGCGAAGAGACAGGTAAGGCAAGGAGATCAACCAGGAGGCTCCTGTAATAGTCCAGTTACGAGGTGATGTAGACTTGCTCTAAGGTAATGGCAGTGTCACTGCACGGGAGTAAATAAGAGTTGTTACAAAGGAAGAAATGAGAGGACTTGGCAAGAGACTGGATATGGGGGAATGATTAGAGTGAGGAATCAAGGTTGCAAGCCTGGAACAATTGTCGTACCCTTGACAGTAGTAAAAAGGAAGTTAGGAAGAGGGTAACAATCGGCAAAGAATAGAGTAAGTTTAGTTTTGGATATGTTGAGTATAAGATGTCTGAAAATCTGATAGAGATATGAGACTGAAGGTCAGCAGAGAAGTTAGGACTGAATGGGTAGATTTAAGATTCTTTAATATAAAGTTGGTAATTAAATCCATGGGAACTGATGAGATCACCAAGTGAAGTGGCGTAGAGAGAGAAGAGAAGAGGGCCCAGGAAAGAATCTTGAGAAATATCTACCGTTAGAAGGAGTGATCTGGAAGAAGATTCAGAAAATGGGACTGAGGAGTTGACAGACCGTTAGGAAAACCAAGGCAGAGTGGTGTCCTGAAAGCCTAGGGAAAAAAAAACAAAAAAAAACCAAAACCAGTATCAAGGAAAGGGTGATCAACAGTGTCAAAGGCTACAGAGAGGTCAAGGAGAATGAGTATTGAGAAAAGGTCACTGATTTTGTCCTTTATTATCTCAAGGACCACAGCAGCCATTCTAAACCTTTTTATTCCGTCTCACACTTCACATGGCACACCCTCCCCTCTCATACTCTCAGCTGAGGACCTTGCCTTCAACAGAAACAATGAGATCATTCACCTAAGAAAACTCCCACTTTTTACCTTCTCACCTCACTTCCCCCACCTTTTCATTCTTCCTTCTGTGAGTTGGCTTTCAAACATCATTCAACAGAAACTACTCTCTCAAAAGACACCAATGATCTCTTGATTTTTTAATTGAATGGTCGTCTTAACGCTTATCCTTCTTGTGCTCTCTGTAGCCTGTCACTGCTGACTGCCCTCTTCTGGATACTTTATCTTCTGCAGGTTTTCACTACACTGCTCACTCTCCTAGTTTTCTGTCTGACTACCTTTTCATCTCCTTCACTGGCTCTTCACTCAGGTTATGCCTACTAACCACAGGTATTCTCCAAGTCTCTAATCTGGGCCCTCTTCCCCCTCTAGATTTTTTCAGCTGGTCATGTCATTAGTCCGTTCACTCAATCATAATCTTTTTCAGATCTATTCATTCAGTCTTAATTTCTCTCCTAACCTCTAGGCTAGAATCACCAACTGCTTATTAAACACCTTGAACTAGATGCTGCATAGAAAACAAACTCTACACATCTAGTACATAACACAGCATTTTCCCCACAAAACCCTGCCCTCATCCAAACTTGCCTATTACCAACCATCTTCCCTGTCACTTAGGCTTCTCACTTGAATTCATCCCACACATCTCTCACATCCTTCCTCTTCTTTCCACTCACACAGCTGACACCTGACACCCTTGCATAGAGCAGCAAGTTTGCTGATTTGTCTTTCTGTCTCAAGTCTCTGCCCATTCTCATCCACCTTTTGCTTGGCTGCCAAAATGATTCTTCCTAAAACATAGGTCTACCTATATCATGGTACTACTTGATATATTCCAATTGCTTCCTATTAACTCTAGGATCAAATATCAAACCCTCTGCTTGACTTCTGAAGCCGTTTACAACCTATCCTGTTCCCACTTGTCCAGTTTTCTTACATTTTATTCTCCACCATGTATTCTAGGACCAAGCATCACCGGATTTCTCACTGCTCCTCACACAGGACATTGCCATCTCCTGACTCTACTTTTTCACTGGGGGCACATGCCTGGAATGCTCTTCCTCCTCACCTCTAACTCAAAGCCTCTACATTTATTTCAAATCCCATATTCTGCAAGAGACCTTTCCTGTCCCAATCCTGACCCCGCACTAATACCCTGCCTCTGAAATTACCTCCCATTTATGCATACATCTGTATCCTGTATGGAGGTAGTTATTTCCATGTTGTCTCTCCCATTAGATTGTGAGCTCCTCAAGTACAGGAGCTGTGGTTTTGTCTTCCCTTGTATTCTCAGCACTTAGTGCAGTGCACATACTAAGCAATTATTAATATCTGCTGATTGGTTGACTCAGAGGCCACAAATACAAGGCTAATGAACATTAAAATGCACTAAATATCATAAGAGTTAATTAATTTACAGACATACCCGACAGCCATCCAGTAAATCCTCAGGTGCTTGAAATGCGCTGATATCCAAGTTTTGTAGATTTTCAACTAGAGACCCCAATTTGTTGTTCATAACTGAGTTATGTGTAGATTCATTAATGCAACTTGAATTGATGTTAGATATGTGACTGACATCTGAAAGAGTACGACCTACATATCAAAATGTAATGAAGACAAGCATTCATAAATGAAGATAAATAAATCAGGTCCTCACTGATTATGTTTTCCCCCACTGAACTTGATTTTGCAATCGAAAAGGATTTTTACTTTTCAATAAGATTCAGCATTTTAGCTAGAAGACAAAATATGAAAAGAAAAAAAAACTAAATGGGTTATACTACAGAAAGCTAATTTCATTTAAAAGACATTATTTAGAATTCTCTCATGCTCTATAATAGAATTCACTCCCTTCCCCGCAAAGGTAAATTTGTAAGTGCTAGGTTTAAGGGCTTAGAATATTTTGGAATTTTAAAAATTCCAACTTTTAAGATACAGTACTCTATCAAACATAACTATTTTAAATATAACATCAACAAAAATGAAGGCAACAGAAACTATAGCAAGATGTAATAATACAGAAAATTAAACAACATGAACTTCAGAAAAGATCTGAATTTTTAAAGAATTCATTTTTTATCTTGTCAGTTGTTCAAGTTGATTTCCTCAGCCTTTCCATAGATCAACAGTGGTATAACAAATGTAGCTGTCATATATCATAAAAAGAACTAAGACCTGAATAATTCTGATAAGCCACTTTTCCACTGTCCAATTATAAAGAAAGAATATATCCAATTTTCTAGTAAAAAATACCTCAACAAATACTAATAAAAACAAATCCTTCCATTAAAGTAAACTAATCAATACATGGAAAAAAAATTACTTCACTAAGTTGTAGTTAGGACCTTACCACTAGCTTCACTGTTCTGGCCAGTAGGAGTAGAAGTACCAGGTACACTCTTTGCTTCTGGTCCAGGCTCTGTCTTGTACTTGGCTTCATCTTGACAGAAGCCTTTCTCAATACTGTGAAAAAACCACTGGATTGTCACACAGTGTACATTCCATCTCTTGGCACATTCATATTTCTGACCTACCATGAGCAATAAGAAAAAAAATTACAGTATACTAAAAAGTCCCTTTACAAAATTCTTTAAGTTCTCAAGAACAGGGATAAAAAAATCTGAATTAAGAACACAGTAATAAAAAATACTATGACACAGAAACAATAACTTGTAATCCTGATAAGTAACTTTTTCAAGAATATTTGGTTCAAATTATAACATACATTTATATACATGAGAAAAAGTACATTTAGGTCAAAGTGCAAAAGTAACAAAACTCCGTACTTCAAAAAGCAAAACTATTCTATTATCAAACTGATTCAAATTAGGATCAATTCTACACATAACTGTTCTTCTCTCCAAGAATTTTTAATTCTTTATTTATTCAGTGCACTTGATACCATAGATGTAGAAAATGGGATCGAGAAGAACAAAGTGACCAAATTAGAATCCCACTTCTGATGTTCCTGAAAATCAGGAGTTGTTGAATGTCCAACAGCATTAGCAAACTGAATAATCATTTAATTGCAATCTTTATATCACACTCATTTCAGACTTAGCTTTACATTCATGGTCCTGAATGAACATATCTCTTCCACCAAGGCAGCTCAGCAAACACAAGCAAAGGTAATAAAAAGGAAACACAGTAGAAAAGTCCTTCCCTCAAGTCCATTTGTACAGATACTGAAGAGCTTAGAAAACATTTACTGGAATTCCACATACAGGTCTTTATCTTAGTGAGAAGCAGCACAGGGAAAGAAAAGAGCATGGACTTGGTATCATAAGACATAAGTTCAATCTGTGACCCTCACTCTCAGTGCTGACCCCAGGTAAGTAATTTAACTTTCCTGTACCTCAGCTTTCTCATCTCTAAAATGTGGATAAGAATACTTACACTATCTACCTGGGAGGATTGCCATGGTGAGAAAAAATCTTTGTCAACTCTGACATGAAAGTGAGAACCTATTACTCTTTTAGCAAAATACTAGAGAGCCCAAGTTATCTCATCACATTTTTTCAGATTCTTTGCTATTAATAGCATATTCTCCATGGACTTCCTCTGGTCCCTGGCTCATCATTCTTGGAAAATACCCACGCATACAAAACAAGTAGCCTACCCAATCATACAGTGACTGGACTGACTCTTAAAGCAGAACAAGGATTAATTACCCAATTTAGTAAAGTAACCAATGCCCTAGAATAACAGAAAATTAGGCAATTTAGATTTTTTTATTTTTATTTTTTTTTTTAGTGAGGCAATTGGGGTTAAGTGACTTGCCCAGGGTCACACAGCTAGTAAGTTTCAAGTGTTTGGTCTGCGGCCATATTTGAACTCAGGTCCTCCTGACTTCAGGGCCAGTGCTCTATCCGCTGTGCCACCCAATTTAGCTTTAAAAAGGAAAAAAACTTTAGTAACACAGAGAAGCATAAGATTTGGTAAAGGACTGAAAATGCTACCTAATGGTTTTTAACATATTACAAAGGAAACTTCTAAGCAAACCATGCTTCCCATATGGTATTTTAACAAAGAAACAAACAAAAAAAACTATTAAGTAGTATCAGTTGCGATCTAGTTGTTTTTCAGTCATGTCTGACTCTTTGTGACCCTTTTTGGGGTTTTCTTGGCAAAGATACTGGAATGGTTTGGCATTTCCTTCTCCAGTTCATTTTACAGATAAGGAAACTGAGGGAAACAGGGTTAAGTGACTTGCCGAAGTATCTTGGGCCTGATTTGAACTCAGGAAGATGAGTCTATCCATTGCGCCACCTAGCTGCTCAAAAAGTGTAAGTGGCTTTGAACTCAGGTCTTCTTGACTAAATTTAGGCCCACCACTTTATCCACTACATCATCTAACTGTCCTCAATAGACACCAGTAGCAACAGTTATGGGGTTTATTTTTCTGGAAACATTTTTACCTTTTGGTTCATGAACAATGAGGTGTGTGCATTCATTCATTTTCAGTTGTCCCATATATCGACCTCCATTCTCAATAGTGAATCGTTGAACTGCCCTTCTATCCAAGCTACATAAACCAGTCACACAGATAGTACAGCCAAAAAATAAAGGGCATTTGAAATCTTCCATATTTACATCTGTTAATTGTGTCATACATCTGAGGAAAATCAAAATAGCAGAAGGAAAGCATTTGCAGTACAATAAAAATTAGACAAAAAACCCTCAAAATAAAAGTTATGACAAATTTTACTTGCGCTAGAAGCAGCTTATATTTTGTCCATCATTTTCTTTTCTCCTACTTTAGGTTTACTGCAACATATTCAAAGTCACAAGAGTGGACTGAGAAACACTCAAAAAAAAAAACTGAATCCAAATTTTCTTAGGAAAAAGGGAAAAAAATGACTGTTACACTCTACAACCTGTCTCTAAATATATGGTCCAAAAATTCCAAATCTCACTCCAAGTGTTTTTATCCAAAGTCTTAAGTCATGGGCTTCAATTTAAAAGCTTGAGATTACCCTCAAGCATCCCCCATTTGATGACAGCTTTGCAAACAGTTATTCTGTTAGGAATGCTTTGTTAATTCTGAATGGCAATTTATGCTCAACATAGCCTACCTTCTCTTTCAACCTGATATACACGTGGGCAAGTCTGGAGATATACCAATTCATAGCAAACTAAATGGGGAGGTGGCAGGGACCTCAGAGATCATCCAATACAACCTCTTCACTTTACAGATGAGGAAATGGGGGTCCCAGAGAGGTGAACTGACTAACCTAACACTCAGACACATTCCAATTAACAGAAGTATTTTGATCCCAAATTCTCACTGCCTACCATGGGCACTCATCATCATTTTATGCTTAAGAAACTTTCACCCTTCTGGGTTTGGAAAAGAGAATGGTGTCAAACCTGTTTAGGTCACTGAGTGAGTAAGGAGAGAAGACACTCACAAAACTTTCTTCAGGGGACCTGTGGGATTGGCTTACATGATCTTATACATAATTTTTAAGTCACAATGAACAACTTACTTCTCTTGTGACTGCTTCCACAGCTCTTTTACCCAAGAAGGAAGCATAATAGGTTTCCGTAGATTTGCAGCCACTAGATATTTTTTGCTGCCGACTTCTCCAGCAATAAGGTGAGTTACTGATATACTCAAGTCTCTGCAAACTCGTCCACCCATCATTTGTACATATTTATGAACTTCTTTCTGGAGTGCCAAAGGAAGAGATAGGAAATATATTAATTTATGATCATTGTCATCAATTTTCTAAGGCATTCACTTTATTATGTCCACAACAAATTCATATTCATTTAATCACTATAGCTACGTTAAAATATATCTTTAAGATGAACAATTTACAAAGAAAAATGTAATTCTCCAAATGGTTAATGAGTCTACTGAAAGATACTAAAAGAATAATTTACTGGGTTTTTTTTTTCATTTAAAACCCTAACTATAATCAATTTTACAGAGAGCAGTTAGAGGAATATAATATGATAAAGAGAGAAACAATACTTTGGAACAAGGGCTCATAGTCACTTTGCTACAGTGGCTGAGGCAAGACCAGGGCATCTATGATCTGAAGGGAGATGAAATAGGTATCAGGGGCAGAAATTATAGAATACAAAACTGCAGTCCTGTGGCTGGACCAACTGAGGTTACAAATTGTTTGCATGATATTAATATGCAGGGCCTTGGTTATACTGCATTAACAATATTATTATAAAACACCATTGGTTAGGACAACTCGTGCTGGGTACAATTCAGTTTGAAGATCACCTTTTTGCCTCTTATACTGCTAGGTCATAACCTCTACTCTGGCATGTGAAATAAAATTTGAAACCAACAAAAAAAAAAATTCACATAAAAAAGTACATATTGATGTTATTATTCTACTAAAACATCTTACCCTTGTTTCTTTGTCAAGGCTTGTGCAAGAAATAGTTACGTCTGCCATAATCATATTATAAACTGGATACTCTGCTTTTGGAACACAACGTTGGTGCTGCATACAAAATGTGACTACTTGGGGGCCAACAATTCTACAGCCAAGCTACAGAAGAGAAAACACAAGGTTTATGTTATTTAAATAGAAAAAAAGATGATTTTCCTTCACATAGTTTCCCTTATTGCAAACTATATTATTTACCAGTATTTATACCTATTTCTTCAAAAATAGCTTTTTTCAGTAGTATGAGTACTCATATCACAGCCCTGTTTAACTTTGAAGATGGTATTGTAAGAGTTATTGCAGGGGACAAATTCATCATCACATGGCCCTCCTCTATTTATACTTTGCATTATATCTAAACCTAGTCAACAAAGAAATAATAGATACTGGAATTAGGAACAGAAAGTCCTCAGGAAAATACCAAAGGGCAATGAACCTTTTTGAGATGATCAAAAACAATGCCACTAAAAGGGTCACAGATGTAAAGTGATCTGTCATTTTTTTTAATTTTCAATGCCTCTTCTTCTGTAATAGTTTGAAGATATTCTTCTGACTGGAATTCTTTCATAGACTGTAGGAAAAGTGAAATAAGAGTGAGTATATTTTAATTATTCAGACTTCCTTAAACTACATAATTAATCAGAAAGATAAGGAACCAAAAATTGCACTGTATTTGAAGAAACTTTTTAACAATGAACCAGAAACTCTGTTCAAGAGAAAAAAATTTTAAAGTACAAGATGTTATTTGGTTAAATCACACTTCCCAAAAGAATGAAGATCTAGTAGACAAAAAGGAGTGATCTGCTCTTTCAAGGCCTGCACATCAAATATATCCGATACAAAGGACAACTGAAATAGAACTCCATAACAGACAACATACAACACGAATAAATGGTAGAATCGTGGCAACACAACAGCGGTGTTAGTCACAAATCCGTTTTTACGCTTCGTAAACATTTCGGTACTTCAGACACCAAAACGTAAAAGGAAAATGACCTCCTAGGTCCAGACAACACAAACGGCCAACTCACTTACCTCAAGCGCTGTAAAAAAAAATTCGGAGTTCCCCTGCGCCTTCACGAACTTCACGTAATACGGCTCTCGCTCATTTTCGGACATGCTGACCTAAAACAACGATACGCGGTCACCCGAGGCCTTCCGCGGGGCCCGGGGCGTCGGCGCAGGGCCTGCTGCGGGCCGGCCCTCGCGGCTCCCCCGGGGCCAGGCAGCCCCTGCCGCCCCGGAGGAGCCGCGGAGACAGACAGCCGAAGGACCGGAGCCTTCGAAGGGGCCGGGGCCGCCCGAGGGGACGGGAGGGGAGGGGCGGGGCCGGGGCCTCAGGGGATTCGGGCTCGAACCCAGCTCCCGCTGCCTCGTCTGCCAGAGCCCAGAGCCCGGAGCCCGGCCGGGCAGCGGGGCCCGGGGCAGTTCCCGGGGCCGCCGTACCAACGGCAGCGCCGCCCACCTCGCCGCTCGGGCCCGGTCCCCTCCAGCCTCCGGCTCCGCCCCACCCCGCCGCTCGGGCCTGGGGCGGCCACACAACGGTCGCTCCCAACGCTGCCCATCGTCCTCACTCACCACCCAGGGCCTCCGGCGTCCTGAGGCGGCGGCGGCTGCAGTCCAGAGCGAGGCTCGGGAGGAAGGCGGCCGACGCGGCGTGAGGAAAGCCCGAGCGCGCGACGGGGGCGGGAGGGGGAGGGGGAAGGTGAGGCCAGCGGGCTCGGAGCCTCAGCGCCGAGTTTCCCGCCAACCCGAGGGCTTCCCCTTCCGCCACCTGGCGGAGGTGACGCCACGGAGCAGCGCGGAAGGGGAGGAGTTTCTACAGCCATTCCCCACCAGGCGGAAATGGTGCGAGTGACAGCTTCCGGGAAGGGGAAAGAACCCGGGCTTGGGATCGTCTTCTGCCTCGGGCGCCTGGGGCCTGAGGCTTGTTTTTCTAACCTCAGTCCAGGGCCGTGGCCCAGGCAGGAGTGTAGGAGGCAGTCCCTGGGATTTAGAGTCACGTAGAACTGAACTGGCCGCCGAGGCTTTTGCGGCCTAAGCCTTTCATTTGACATAAGCCCGAGAGCTTCAGTAACTAGCTCTGAGTCGCACAGGAAACGGCCGAGCCGGGATTCGAACGCTCCCCCGCTGGCTTTTCCCTCTGTGCCTCTTCCCTCTGGCTCGGGACAGAGGCAGGGGAAGCCGGGGCCTCGGCCGGACCAAAGGCAGCGCCCGTTGAAGGCTCCTTGTCGGACTGCCGGACTGCGCCAGGCCCCCCTTCCCTTCTCCCCTCCTTGTTCCGTCGCTCTAGGTACGACCCCAGGGTCACGGCTAGGAGGTGTCTGAGGCCGGCTTGGCACTCCATCCGCCGGGCCACCCGGCCGCACCTTTCCTCTTACCAGGCTGCAAAGAGATTCAGCCCTTCTGCTTACTTTGGCACTCGCTATGCCTATGTAGAGCCTTCTTCCTCCCCTACCCCTTCCCCTTATTTCTGGAATACCCGTTAATTTCTGTGTGATTAAAGAACCACAGTTAGGAGCTTAAGTGACGCATACCTATTGGGAAACAGCGTTTAGGGAGAGGTCAAGGAAATGATAGGAATCACCCAAGGATTCGTTGATAATGTACTGCTGCCAATCAAAACCAGCAACATGCAGAGATCTAGGAGGTAAACCAGATTTATTACATGTACGCCAAGCACACTCTGAATTCCCTAAATGGCTACTGAGCACCAGATAAAGTTTTCTTAAGACTTCTAGTTACATCCAAGGGAAAAAAGAAACAATTAGGATTTACAGATGCCAAAAAGGGAAATGTAAAGATTTACCATTTCAAAGATATGTAAGCTATACATAAAGATAGTGTAAGATATTTATACAAAGATATTGTAAGATTTATAGCAGGCTAAAGAAGAGCAAGGAGGATTACAAGTCAAAAGATAACAAAAGGAGAGAATTGCTTCAAGTCAAGTTGTAAATTGAGCAACAAACACTGAGTAGTTTAGACATTACAACTAGCAAATGATTATCTTTTATCTCTGCCCAGTTGTCTTGAGTTAAATTATTGAAAATCTCAGCTAAATTCCATACTATAAGAAAAACTCCAGCCAGATTTTCCTTATAAATAAAATGGTCATGCTGGAGCCAAATAAAAAGAAAATTAAAAATTTATGACAAAGGGAACCTACAATCTAATGGGAGGGAGGGCCCGGGACTTAACATTTAAAGAGATATGCATTGAGTTTTAGTGGTTAGTTTTAACAGCTAGGTGTTGGGAGGATAGAGCACAGGACTTGGAATTAAGAAGATGAGTTAGAATCTTGCTTAAGACACTAACCATGTGCAAGTCACTTAACCTCTATGTACCTAAGTTTCCTCCTGTGTAAAAATGGGGAAGAAAACAATATGACCTACCTCACAGGGTTGTTGTGGATCTAATGTAAAGCACTATATAAATGCTAGCCATTATTTATTATCAATAGCAGTTTAGAGAGAGGGGCAGAATCCAGACAAAGCTTTAGAGTATAGCTTGCCCACCACATCTCCTTGACAAAGATCAAGAATATGCACCAGACCTAGTTCTGATCAAGAAAGCAAAGAAAGTCATACTCAGTTATTTTTCCAGTCCAGAGTTGCTCTGGATACTGAGGACAAAGTCTGCCGTGAGCATGCCTAAGGGAACATTCCAACACCTAGGGACTGAAAGAGGGCAAGACAGGGCACCAGGCAGGAAGCACTGGAGCAAAAAAGAGATCCCAGGAGACCCCTTAACAAACACTGGGTGAACTGTTATCCACCACCCAGTTCAGGGTCACAGATGTAGGGTAGAGAGAAACAGTTGTGAGCATGGGCCCTAGTTTCTCTGAACCTGCATTGCTTCCCAGCAGTCCAGTAGTACCTGAGTTAAGCAAAAGTATACTGAAAATTTCAGCTAGAAATAAGCCAATAGACCACAAACCTGAGTCAGGACTTTGCAGAGCTTAGATAAGGAGGTTAGTGAACAGATCAACCCCTGGATCACACCATTATGGGGGGCATTGAAAACTTGCAGGCCTCCAGGGGGAGCTGTGAAATCAGCAGAAGGCTGTAAGAAGACAGAAACTCAGGCTAGACATCCTCCCCACAAATGTGCAGAGCTCAGCACCAATGTAAAGTCTAGAGTAAAGAAGTAGGCTGGAAGAATGAGCAAACAAACAAAAAAAAATAATCCAACCATCAGGAACTATTATGGTGATATGTAAGCTTGAGATACAAACACAGGAGAGAATAACTGCAGAACATTCAAAAGCAAAGCCTTAAAAGAAAATGCAGGTTGGCTACAAGTCAAAAAAAGAATTCCTAGGAGAATTAAAGCAAATGTTAAAGAAAGCTCAAAATTTATTTTAAAAACCAAGGAAGGAGATTCTGGGAGGATAGCAGAATAAGACAGGAAATTACCTGGCTCTCCTAAATCGCCCCACAAACAATATAAAATAATGCCTCAGAGTGAACTTTGAGTGGCAAAAATAATTTAAAGCTGGGTAAAGCAGTTGTCCACCTAAAACAGCTTCCAAGGATGTGAGGAAAGACCCCATCTCCCTGGGTAGTTGTTTGACCTGATTGTAGTGCAGACATCTCTGGACAGATATTGCTGAATCAAACAACAAGCTGTGGGGGCAGCTCTGGGTGGCATCCTCAGCTTCAGGAACTTTCACCCCACAGACAGCAGTTGGGGTTGGACATTGGGTGAGGGGAAGATTGCAGGGCCCTCTGCTGGTACTGGATGCTGGACCCAGGTGCACTGACCTGATGCATTCTAGGGCTGTGACTGTAGGTGAGGAGGAATGAGTACAGACTGGGTGAGTGTAGTCATCGAGGGATTTGAACTCTCCTGAGGGTCCAGAGGACCCTGTTGACTATGGACACTTGTGAAGTCCTTGGCTTTGGTTTCAGGGCAGAGGGGTGAGCTGAGGCTTACAGCTGTAGGAGGTACCACAGGGAACAAAAGCTTTTGAGGTGGCAGCATTGCAGGGGGCCCTGATTATGGCTCAGGGACTGAGAGTTAGTTCCCTGATATAGTTAGTTCCCTGGATATAGCTCAGAAAAAAATAGCACAAAAACCCTAAAGTCTAAGATATTATCCCCCACACCTTGGGACTAGAGCCTGATTTTAACACAAAGTTAGCAGATAAGAAATAAGCTGCTAAAAAAAAAATAAGAAATAATAAATGAAAAAGAAAGAACCCAACCATACATAGCTATTATGGTGATAGAGAAGATCTAGGTTCAAATGCAGAAGAAGATAGTGAAGTTAAAATAGCTACTTCTATCTCAAAGAAAAAAGCAAAATGGTCACAAGCCCAAAAAGAGTTTTTGGAAGAGCTTAAAAAGAACTTTGAAAATCAAATAAAGAGAGGTTGAGGAAAAATTAGGAAAAAATAAGAGTAATGCAAGAAAATTATGAAAAGAAATTCAACCAGTTGGAAAAAGAGATCCAGAAGAAAATAACCCCTTAAAAATTAGAATGGGGCAAGGGGAAGCTAATGACTTCATAAGACACTAAGAAATAATAAAGTAAAATCAAAAGAATGAAAAAACAGAATGTAAAACATCACATTAGAAAAACTGACCCGGAGAATAGATCAAAGAGAGGTAATATAAGAATTGTTGTACTACATGAAGATGACCAGAAAAAGAGTCTAGATACTATACTTCAAGATATTAAGGAAAATTGCCCTAAAGTTTTAAAATGAGAGGGTAAAACAGAAATAGAAAAAAATCCACCAATCACCACCTGAAAAATCCCAAGATAAAAACTCACAGGAATATCACAGCTAAGTTTTGAAGCTCCCAGGTCAAGGAGAAAATACTACAAATGACGAGGAAAAAAAACTGATTTAAATATTGTGGTGATATAGTCAGGATAACGCAAGACTTAGCAGGTTCTAAAAGAATAAAGGTCATGGAGCAATATATTCTGAATAGCAAAGGGGCTGGGCTTGCAACCGAGAATAACAACTTATCAGCAAAGCTGTGTTATCCTGAATGGGAAAAAATAGACATTTAATGAACAAAAGGACTTTCAGGTATTTGTGAAGATGGAAACTAAGTAGAAAATGTGACCTATTAGATTCAGGAGAAATATAAGAAGGTAAACATTAAAGACCAATTATAAAGACTTAATAAGGTCATTATCTGGAAGTCAAAGAATGTTATCATTTGAGCAGGAGGATTTCAGAAAAACCTGGAAAGACATATATGAAATGATGCAAAGTGAAGTGAGCAGAACCAGGAGAATGTTGTACAAAGTAATAGCAATACCATAGAATGATCAATGTGTGAATGACTTAGCTATTCTCAGCAATACAATGATTAAAGACATTTCCAAAGGACATATGATGAAACAATGCTATCCACCCCCAGAGAATGACCTGATGCAGTCTGAAGGCAGATTAAAGCATACTATTTTTCATTTTCTGTATTTTTTGTGGGTTTTTTCCCTCCTTTGGGTCTGTGTCTTCTTTTATACCATAACTAATATGGTAATAATGTTTTGTATGATTGCCTAACTTATAACAAATTACTGTTTCAGGGAGGGAGGAGGTGAGAGAGGGAGGGAGAAAGTTTGGAACTCAAAATTTAAAAAAAAATTAATGTTAAAAATTGTCTTTATATGTAACTGGGGGGAAATAATTTTTTTTAGTTGCTAAGATTTATTGCAGATAAAATAATTTCATAAAATATCACAAAGTAGACCAGCTTTCCCACCTATATTCCAACAAATAATTATTTTAATTTTTTTTGCAATGACTTGTATAGAAGGGGTGATGTTTCCATTTCTTTTTTTTTTTAGTATTTTATTTTTATTTTTCCCGTTACATGTAAAAACAATTTTTAACATTCATCCTCAAAACTATTGAGTTTCAAATTCTCTCCCATCCTCCCTATCCAACCCCCCCCCCATTGAGAAGGCAAGCAGTTCGATATAGGTTACACATGTGTAGTCATGCAAAACACATCCATGATAGTCATGTTGTGAAAGAAAACATCGACCAAAAAAACCATCACGAAAAATAAAATTTAAAAGAAAGTATGCT